TGCCACCCTGTGCCACATGCTCTAGGTGTGCCTGCTTGAGCAGGAAGGTTGGACTAGATGATCTGTAGAGGTCCCTTCCAACCTTAAATATTCTGTGATTCTGTGAATCTGTGAATTATCACTTGCTGCCACCAAACAGGACCCTGGCACTATTCTCCTTTGAAGCTGCTGGAGTTTTCTGCTCAGTTTGTACCATTGGGAACTCATGGCCTTTTCTTTACACTGTGTCGGGGCAATGGACACAGGCTCTCACTTTTGTGAGAAATACTGGTGAGATGCTTCTCTCAGAGTTGCTGATGCCTCTGTATAGCAGTGGTTTGTAAATGTTGCTTTAGGATATTCCTTGCTGTGGGTTAGAATGTTTCATTGTCTGTCACAGTAAAGGACTTTTACATGTTGCTGCTGCCAACACTTAAAGCAAAAGTAGATGTTATCCTCTCCGCCAAAGCTATACACCATCCTCAGGAGGGGAACGTATGCTTCAAACCTGGATGCTTTTTCCTAGGGAACAGATAATTAGGAAAAAATAAGAAGAAAGAGTAAGGACAAGTCACAGTGTATCCCAGAGTACATACTAGCAGGCAAGTGCTTTCTTTGGTGAAACGGTGCCTCGCTCTTTTGGCAGCTGGTTCCCAGCCCCTACGTGAGCGTGCGCAGTGACGGCAGCCTGCACCTCGAGCGGGTTCGGCTGCAGGATGGGGGTGATTACACCTGCATGGCCAGCAACGTGGCGGGGACGAGCAACAGAACTGTCACCGTTAACGTGTACGGTAAGCCACGCTCTCCTTGCTCTGGTGCTGGTTTCAACATGAGAATGCATTTCTTACCATTAGTTGTTCTGGCTAGACTTTCCCTTTAAAATTATACTGTTTTCTCAAATTTTCTCTTTGCATTGCTGCTACTTTTTGAAGAGATGTGGAGAGAATCAGGCTCCAACACATAGGAGCCTTGTGTGGTTGAGATAGATTTTAATTTTTTTTTTTTTTTAAAAAAAAGGACATAATTTAGTGGTTTTGAAAAATCTTCCCTTTTAAGCATCTGCAAAGGTTGTGCTTTGCAGACTTTGTCTTTAGTTTTGTTCACAAAACATGCACAAGTGGGAGTTTATTGGAAAGCCCTGCCAAGTGCTGTCAGGGGGATTTCATAACTGATAAAAGGAAGCACAACTCATGGGAGTATTGCACTTAAAATAAATTACGAGTTTGGCAAGATGTCTTTTTTTAACAATATCCAAAATTACACTGACAGCAAGACAAGTGTGATCTTTGTGGTAAACCATCTGCATTTCAGCTGCGGAGACTTGTGTCAACTGTGTGGGAGGTCACAACCACTTCATTGTTTATGGCCTGAAATTTTCTCACGTGTCTAATTAATCATGGGAAGCTTATTTTAAGTTTCATAGAAGATGTTTGAATGCCCCTTTATGTTAAAATAGCTGGGTTTTATTAATACATGCTAGTCCTCAGTCTCTGATAAAGTCTTTAGTGAACACTAGTTTAGGATTTTTTTCAGAACTTAAGCACAGAAATCTGTCTGTCTATATAAAATCCCTGTCTCAGATATAGGATATACAGGTGGTTATACTGAAGTCTTTTTTCTGCCTGTTATTAATTCAAATCTGGTTCAGGTAGACAGTGGAACCAAAGTTCTTGTTATCTTCTTTGTGATGTTGTGAAGTGATTTGGTCAGCTAGGTGAAATAGCTACAGCCAGCTTAAAACCGCGTGTACCTAACCCAGTGACTCCCCCGTGGCTCACATGTCTTGTAGTGAGCAGACAGCTAGTTTTAAAGGAAGACTGAATAGTGGAGGAGAAAGCAATTGGTCAACGTCAATTTTGGAGTTCAAAGACAGAAAATTCCCCGTTCCAGCTGCCTGTAAGAAGTAGTAGTTAAGTATGTGGACTTTATTTTAGGAGATGCAGCATAGTTTGAAATCTGTCTTTTGCCTGTGCTTAATATATGTATTTATTTTTAGTTCTGCCTGTCATTCAGCATGGACAGCAGATATTCAGTACCATTGAAGGAATCCCAGTAACACTGCCCTGCAAAGCCAGTGGAGTTCCTAAGCCATCCATTCTCTGGTCCAAGGTAACTTCTCTTCTTCAAGCCGTTCATGGTGAAAGATAAAATGAGCACATCATTTAGCTATAATAAAAACTACATGCAAGAAAGGCAGCCAAACCCCTTTGTTGTAAGGGACCTGGAAATCTCTATTTATTCACATCTGCTTTTGTTTCTTAGAGCAATTCTTTCTGGCCATGGGCCAGCTGTACATGAAGGTTCTATTCTTTGGAGAGGCTTTGCTGTATCTTTCTGTATAGAAGTATTTAATATTCTTGTTGTGAGTTGATAATTTGAGATTTAAAGCCTGCTGCAGATTGAAAGTTCAATTTTGTTTTGGACATTTTTGTTACTGTGACTTTTTTCCTCTAAGGAAACAAGGTATAAAAAATTATGCTGTGAAGTTAACCCTTAGTCATGCAAGTATAACTACTTAGGACTTTGCCAACAATTTTATTTAAAAGCAGAGATAGAACCCAGTAAATGGCTTGACTAGGCAGCAAGTAAAACACAGTAGGAATAAGATGCAGTTATCTTTCCACTTACTTATCAAATCCAGCTTCCTGTAACACAAGGAAGAATCTGCCGACAGAAATGTGTTCTACAAAGCCTGTTTGTACAGCAGAAATGCACTTCAAAATTGATTCGCTTGAAATCTTGGGTTTTTTTTTAAGAATTATAGTCTGGAAAATAGAGAATTTTATGCTTAAGAGTACCTGTTTGCTGCTATATATTCTATTAGAAAGTGAGGATAAAGGAGTGTTAAGTTGGGCAAAGTAGTTGATTTATAGGGACAGAACTTGGGGGTCAGGCTTCTTAGTTCAAAATATTTTTTCTACCCCAGCTATAAACAATAGAAACAGTACTGTAATATAAGTTAAAATATTGCTCAGTTTGGTCAGACTGCCTGCTAGTTGTTTGGTCTACAAAACTGCATAAAGCATATTGCACAGTGATAGGGAAATGTGATTAAAGTATGATATTAAAAATACTGCTGTTCTCATCTGAAACGGCTACAACAGTGAGTTAAGTTAGGGGAGCTATTCCAGGGGCTGACAGTTTTTATATTCCTTTAACATGGTTTTGTTTTCTTTAAATTGTATTTTCTCTCTGTAGACTTTGACTTTCATCGAATTAAAAGCTTGTATTTTATTTTAGAAAATCCATGTGCTGAGAGTTTTGTTTTGCTTTGTTTCCTTGTTTCCACAGAAGGGAGAACAAATTCTTGCCAGCGACATGAGATTTTCTGCAGGCTCAGATGGCAGCCTCTACGTAGCTTCCCCCGGGGGGGAAGAGGCCGGGGAGTATGTGTGCACCGCAACAAATGCTGCTGGTTTCGCCACGCGGAAGGTCCAGCTGACTGTCTATGGTATGTGTAAATGAAAGCCAAGTATAGCCTCATTGTTCCCCTTCTGATAATTCTAATTTAGGCTGCACACCCTGCCTTAGGTGAATATTCTGGAGCAGGAAATCTGTGGTGCAAACAGGATTTAAGCTAATCTACAATTAATGCTTTTGACTTTGACTTCGGCGGTCTGCTGCCTGCTAGGCAGTTTTATAAAAGGCTAAGATTAAAAGCCCTATCTTTCAACCATTATGATTCCCTTAAAACCTCCTTGTACCTGTCACCATCTGCTTTTGGTCTAGGGAATTTGGGCATTTCATAATTTTATCTTGTATGGTAGTGGATAGGAAGCAACACCTGTACAGAAACCTAAGTTCCTGCTCATAAGAGTGAAGAGTGAAGATGCTTTAGTTCATCCTTCTCAAGTCTTCCTCCCATCTTCCAGTATTATTAAAAATCTGGTTTAAATGGTTTGGGTTTGTTGCATGAGGCTTTTTGGCTTACAGTATTGGCATTGCAGTGTTGGTTGCAGCTAACCAGAGTTCAGAGCTCAGCCTGTGTGAACTGCAGCTGTTGACAACGTAGGCAGCTTCTTGGGCACAAGGTGCAGCTTTGCTGACCTTCGTGCTGGAGCTAGTGAACGTGGGCACATCTGCATCACAGTGATTGCCAACAGCAAGCTAATGCAGGCATGTCATTATAAATGAGACTGTAATGCTATGTATCTGATACAAGAAGCGGGTGTTTCATCTGAAGTAAAATTGTATGGTATTAATTTTGTGCTAATATATGTATTCATTGAAATTTCTTAATATGTTCCATGTTATAGTGAAACCTAGAGTATCCAGGCCTGGAGATCAGCAAGGAAATGCCTATGATAAACCCATAGAGATCTCAGTAATTGCAGGAGAAGATGTGACACTTCCTTGTGAAGTAAAGAGCTTGCCACCCCCCATAATTACCTGGGCCAAAGAAATGCAGCTCATATCACCATTCTCTCCAAGGTAATGAGATTTGATGGGGGAAAAAAAAACAGAATGAATTGCTTCAAAATTTTGGAAGGGTGTACAATTTTTAATTGCCTCATGATCAATCAGAAGGTATGAAGTTGTACTTGCTTTTCTTTCCTAAGGGCCTTGTTTCATTACGTCTTGAAATTCTTTTCTCAAACTGAACCTATGTCCCTTTTTGAGAGATGCAGAAGCTATGTGTCCTGGTAGAGACTCCATTCCACTAAGTGCTTATAGCAAAAGATAGAGCTTCAAAATTCAGTCTGAGTTAGCAACCTCAGGAGGCCAAGGTCAAAGAAGATCCCATTATAATTATGCTGTGAAGGTATCCTGAGATTCACATAATCTGTGTCTGATTTTAAATGTTTAAAAATGGATTTTTCTTTTCTTAAGCACTTCATATTTATGCTCAAGGGAGCATAGTCTGCTATTCATATGAGGTGTGCTCTGCCAGTAGAATACAGATGATGATAAATGTTTGGGAGTGCTTACAAGGGCTCCTATTTTGTTGTGTTTTGGATCCAGAAACTCTCCAGGCATCCATGAAAATATGAAAACATAGTTAAATGCTTATAAAAATGTTGAGCTGACAGCTTTGGAAACTGAAGAGTTGGGAACAGACTTGTCTTGTCTCCAGGGCAGACCGTGGTATTTGAGTCTTTCCTTAGTATTTTGTTGTGGTGCAGAATAGGAGGCAAAAGGAAAAGGAGGCAAAGACTTGGTGATTCTTCTCTCCGTGTCTCCAGCTGAAGTGGCAGGCACTGTCACACAGCCTGCTGATGCTTCCCAGTCTCCAGCCTCCCTAAGAAGAGGTAAAGGCAATGGCTTTCTTCCTAAAGCAGGGAACAGCAATCAAGAGATTGCTGTGCCAGCTGCCTAGTGTCTCTCAGCAGTTTCAGTGTGATGGTGAGGAAGCAGACAGACCTCAGAGTGAGCCTGTTGCCTTTACAGAAAAGCAATCTTCAGATCCACCTATTCCCGTGGTCTGTGGCAACGTTAGCAACTGATCTCTGGGTGTGCCAGCTTTTTTGTGTGTAATGAAGGGTCCAGTTGTGCAGAGAGCTAATTTGCTGGCAGTTTTGTGTGGATGTTTCTGCTGTGTCCCGTGACCACATCTCATGCACTAATGAACCTGCATTCTTGATCCCTTACTTGTCCTTATTTTACCTCATGAGACATAGATAAATTAGGCTACTTGCTCATGGCTGTTGCGGATGGGTCCAAAAAGTCCAGTTCAGCCCATTCCAAGATTGTTTACAGATGCCAGCAAAAGTTAAAGATTTAGTCCAAACAAAACCGCTTGAGACCACCCAAAGACAGTGTTAGAAATGTGACCGGTAAACAAAAGAGTGAAGCCAGAAATGAGGGACTTTTGTCAGGAAGTAAATCTAATAAGTGGACAGCATAATGACAGGCAAGCTCCTCCAGCCATCATGTCTTTTGGGGATACTTTTATATATATATATATATGTGTGTGTGTGTGTATATATATATATATATATATATATACACATACATACATAAACGCACACACAAGATATGGGCAGCAGAGGAGGAATCATGATATCACACAACTATGGGTGGCCTGGAAGAAATGAACTTCACTTTGTTGCCATTCATCTCTCCAAGCTGTTTTAATTCCCACATTCACCATTTATACCAAATATGCCGACATAATCTTGATTAGAGAGATGACAGCACCAATTCCTGCCAACTTTGTCTAAACTAAAGATAACCTTGAGTGCAAGTTTCTAGTTGTGAAAGCAAGTCATAGATGTATGTACCTCATTTTATTTCTTCCCTGACCAAATCTTGTTACTATCTGTTGGTTTTGATATTTTGATATTTGCTCAGTGTTCTGAAGGTAGTGGTTCAGCAAAGAGTTAAAAAAAAATGAGTAAATCATAGTTTGGTAATAAAGCACAATGCAGTGTACCATGCAGAAAGGTGTCATTTTAGTTCATGGCAATCATTAGTAATGTGTAAGTAGAGATCATTCCACTTTCAACAAATATTTATTCAGTGTATCTGCTGCTTATTTTTCCAGACACACTTTCCTACCCTCAGGGTCAATGAAGATCAGTGAGACACAAGTTTCAGACAGTGGAATGTATATCTGCGTAGCCACAAATATTGCTGGGAATGCGAGTCAGTCAGTGAAGCTAAATGTACATGGTAAGGTTTAATTCGGATAATGACTGCAAGGCTCTGCTTGGAATTTAGCATTTTTTTTTTTGTGCAGAACATTTTTGTTATGAACATTTCAATGCTATTGACCCGTATTCTTTCAGTCGTCTTATATTCTTATGTGAATTGTTGTTACTGCTTGTCTGGAAAGGAAATAATGCATGCATATATATATGTATGAGTGTGTATATCCATCTTCCTTTAATGTTGTTTAGAATCACATAGGAAATACAGCACTGTGTGACATGTGATTCTTCCTAAACCGCCGGAGTTTTGGGAGCTGAAAAATGGTTATCTAGGGCTTGTAGATGCTGAGTTCCTGCTGATCTGATGGCAGTTAGATATCCCAACTACTGATAAGGGCTGTCCCAAGTGTTCTTTTATACCACAAGTGGTGGTAGTGAGGCTAGTGTGTGACATTGTCACTTGTGGAAGGGCACTTGCTCCTGTCTTTCTACTGAGCTGTATGCCTATAGATTTTGCTGTACTATGCAAACCAATACCTTAAGCATCTTCTTCCTGCCTTTTCTCTGCTCAGCCCAACATGCTGGTCTTGTGCCCACTGTTCTTACCCCACAATGAATATGTCTAATCTCCCGTGCACAGGCTGGGACCTGCCTTGCTTTGCTCACCTGTTGCCACAGATGGTCACACTCTCATGCTGAGGCTGATCAGTAGTAGCTGCACATGGTTCCTCCGTGGCTCGTGGAGAGGCTGGGGAAACCAGTGCCTGTTGCCAGCATATGGCTTTGAAGTGAATCACATACCATGAACATACCAGGTTGGGACTCCTGCCCGAGCAGCTCCAAAAACTTCAGACGATGCTAATTCAATTACAATGGCTCTGGCAGACTGCTGTCTAGCTCTGTGCATAGAGAGATGCAGTATCAGTGCACATCTTTGTTTATCTATACTTGTACATTAGCAGAGAGTCTGGAAAAATAGCACTTGTTATTGTTTCAGGCATTCTTTTTAAGTCTTTTTATTATCACTGATCCCTAGAAATAAAAACATTGTAGCCAAAGAGTTATGTCAGATTTATATTATTCTTTGGGACCAGCAGAATCTCTTCTAGCCATACTTTATCTTCTTGTCTGAAATCGTGTTTGGAAGCACACAAAGATGAGGGATTAGGGGGAAGGAAATTAAAATGTCAAAGGGAAAATGTGGTTAACTTTATCATAAAGCTTTTGAATAGTTTTGTGTTGTGAGCAGCCTGTACCCATAGCTCATTTTGGATATGCTCGGTGGGATAAGAACATGCTACTTTTAGGGAAGTAATGCAATAGAACTGGAAACGTAGCCATGACACCTGTCCAGGTATGTTAAACTGGAGGGAATTGTGCTTCCAGTCAGCAGGGAGAATGCACTTTGGTTTCCTTAGTCACTTATGGGAATTCAGCTTCACTGAATAAGGAAGGCATGTCCTAAAATGACAAAAGCTGACAAATATTTTGAGAATGATCTTGCACATGGTTTTCTTTGAATGACTGTGGACTTTCTTGTGTTGTTTAGTTCCTCCGAAGATACAGCGTGGGCCTCGAGTTCTGAAAGCCCGCGTTGGCCACAGGGTGGACATACCCTGCAGGGCCCAGGGACTTCCTCCTCCAGCGGTCACTTGGTTCAAAGGCAGAAGTGCTGTGCTCGTGGATGGTGGCCACCTTATCCACGGCCCGGATGGAGTGCTAAGCATCAGCAAAGTCCAGCTTCCCCATGCTGGAATCTACAAGTGCATCGCTAGTAACGTGGCGGGCAGCGACACCTCAGAGATAACGCTGCAAGTGCAAGGTATTTCAGCTGGACTAAGTATAGTTTCTTGTCCACTTTAGTTTTTGGAAGACAATATTCCTTGCTGTTTTAACTGTTACATGGTATAAAAGCCGAATCTTTGTATGTTTTAGATGCTATGTTTTGATGTTAATTAAAGTAAATTAAAGTAAATAAAAACAATAAAGTAAATTAAAGTAAATAAAAATAAGCAAAGGAGCATAAGGCAAGACACTTCTGATCTGATTTTCTTTCAGAGCCTCCTACTATAGATGATCTTGACCCTTCATACAGTGGTCCATTTCAGGAACGAGTAGCACATCAACGTGTTGCTTTCCCATGTCCAGTAAAAGGTGTGCATCCTTATTCTTGTGCTAAGTTCATCTGTACTGCCTGTCACTGTAAGAATAAGCATCTTTTGCAAGCATTATCTATGCTACAAATTAAAATTATTACTGATTTAAATAACCACTGAATGTAGAAAGTAATGACTTTTCAGAAGTCATCTTTTCAGAAAGGAATGACTTATCTCTAAGAAGTCATTGCTTGCCACCAAGGGCATTAAAATGTTTAGGGACTTCCTGTAAGTCTGAATGCCCTTTGCCTCTGTGCTGTGATTGTCTTTACCAGTAAGATTTGCAGCAAGTAACGGGAATCCTCCTGATTCTTAGCTAAGCAAAGAATTTCTTGCCAGTTCATCTTTTTCTTGTTAGGTGTTCCAAAGCCTGTCATCAAATGGCTGCGTAATGGAAGAGAGTTGACAGGCAGCGAACCAGGGATTTCAATTCTGGAGGATGGGACCCTGTTGGTCTTTGCTGCTGTCACACCTTCTGATGATGGGGAATATGTTTGTACAGCAGCCAATGAAGCTGGAAGTACAGAAAGAAAATATAACCTCAAAGTTCATGGTAAAGAGTAAAACTAGTCTTTCCTTTATTCTCTATATAACTTCTATTATTTCTATTCATGGTAGCTTTATATGCAGACCGTATTTGTTTTGCTCAGATAATTAGGTGAGTCTTATTTATAAAGTGATGTATTTAAGCTTGATGACTTTGACAGAAATAGCAATGAAGGCTTTTGCACTGTAAAAGTTAAAGGCTGGATGATAGATGCATATTTCAAGTATAAATGTGATACTCAAGCAATATTATATCTCGATCTTTTATCCAAGAAAAACAGGAATTCTATCATGTGCCTGCAGGGCTTGTTAGTGGGACTGGAATTTTCTCATCTGCCACATAAACCCATTTTCCATGCATTCAATGTGGAAGAAATAATAGATCTTCCTGGAGAAATGAAGTAATTAATCTGTGGAATCCAATTCCTTTATGTAATAAGCAGATAACACAGGCTTATAAATTACTACTTTAAAATATTGATGATAGTTGTGTTTTAAGTAATTATCAGTTTGTTACTGGGCAATAGAGAAGTCTGTTCTTTGAGGAGAAGGAAGGAGGGAGATATGTTCAGAGTGCAGAAGAAATGTTTAGGGGCAGCTGAAATGGGTCAGGGAAATTTAGATGACAGAAGTTCTTCGCTGGGGGAAAGGAAAAAGTGGGAGGTCACTGGAATAGAAGATTTCATAGATTACTTCAACCTTTCTTGCAGTTCCCCCTGAAATTAGAGATCAAGAAACAGTGACAAATACATCTGTAGTTGTTCAGCATCCTGTAAGTCTCTTGTGTGAAGTATCTGGTAACCCCTTCCCGATAATCTCTTGGTATAAAGAAGATATTCAGGTATGTGCAGTTAACCTAGTTGAGGTAGTATAATCAGCAATTTCAGCTTTTTGGTTAACCATTATGTATTAACTTCAGTATTGAGTGCTTGGCATGAGAGCTCATTTAAAGTAAATGTATGCTTTAATGTATATTTAAACTGCACTCGGAACACCCACACAGAAAGCTAGCTAAATATGGCTAATTCAGAGTGGATGTCTTGCAGAAGGTTTTCAGGAGATTAGTGCTGTGACTGAATAGGAAAATGGATTACCCTTAGAATAAAGCTACCATTTTCTTATAAAAAAACAGCTGTGATATTTGGCTCATGTAACTTGGATCACATCAGGCTAATCTCCTGGGTTCTTTTAAGGTTGTGGAAAGCAGTACTCTCCAGATTTTGCATAACGGGAAGATACTGAAGCTCCTTAAAGCTGCTGCTGATGATGCTGGACAATATTCATGCAAAGCTGTAAATGTAGCAGGAAGTTCGGAGAAAATGTTTAACGTAGATGTACTAGGTTAGTACTTTTTTTTTAAAGATGGTGATCTGAAAAATAATTTATATTTAAGACACCATTATGTTTTAGCTTAATATAAGTTTTTTCCTCTCACTGTCCATTGGATGTTGATCGCTGTAGCACTCTTCACAATGGTTCTTAAATACTTAGCATTTACTGTTCTTATAATAACAGCTGTTTTTCATTTCTGGATTTGTATCTTTGATACTTTGTTTTGTATTTTGAGAGTATAGTGCCACATAGATGAGAAGCTAGAAGGAATCTCCTGCAATGGTCTACAGCAGCACTATTAGTGCTTGTTGCAGTAGAAATGTTTTGGACTAGCAGGACTTCATAGTGAAAACTGAAAGTACTTTTCTTCCTATTTCATAGCATATCTTCCCTCTTTAAATTCCAGATCCTTCTGTAACATTTGTCTTTTTAAAGTTCCACCAAGCATCATAGGTGCTGCTACAGCCAGTGAAATTGCAGTCATTCTCAACCACGAAATCACTCTGGAGTGTAGAGCCAAAGGCTCCCCCTTTCCTGACATTCACTGGTTCAAAGATGGCAAGTAAGTTGTTGCTGCTTATGCTCTGTGTCTAGGTTATTCCTCCTTAAGAACAGCAAAGAAACAGATGTGTTGTTTTAGCAAGCTGTTATTGCAACCAAACTCGACGTTAAGTTATTGTCATTGGACAGAATTAGTGGTAGTGTGATGTGGTAGAGTCCTTTGGTCAAAAATCAGCATGCCACTTTTCTCTGTGAGTTGTCACATTAGTCACACTGGCACTTGCAGAGCAAATTTACAGTATTTGAAATCAGACAGTATTTAAACCAAGACAAACACATAACCATTTTTTGAGTTCTTTGCATGTAGGTCATTTTATATTTATTATTAAAATACAAATGATTTGCTGACATAATTTTTTCATGGTAGACAGAACCCATGACCAATATTTTTCTAGCTAGTGCCTTGTACAATTCTTTGTGTATACACTAAAGATTTTTAAAACATTTTTAGCATGCATGTTTCAATTCTTCATCTCTTCTTTCAGGAAAGCATACAAAGAAAAGAATTTTGGCAGCTTATGTTATTAGCCTGAGAATCAAAATGGGCTGTAAATACTTTAAAAAGTAGCATTGGTGTTTAATAATGCAATTCAGAATAGATATTGGGTAGTATACCCAGATATCCTTATATAACAATTGCTTATTCTTTGGTTGAGACTTTGCCACTCTTACCTGGTAAATGCAGACATTTTGATGTCATGGCCTAGTGATTGGAAAAGGGAACTGACAGCAAGAATAGAACTATATTTCTGCCACTGGCATCCTGGTTGACCTAAGTCAAATAACTTGTCTTTTGGCTTCTTCTGGAAACAGGGAATAATGTCTTCTGGCTTGTCACCTTGGTGTGGTTCTTCCCATGAATAGTTCTGTTCTGGTGCTAAACGGTGCTCTTTAATACAATTCCTGACGTTTAAGTACCCTTTGCTATTATTGTCAGTTTAAATCAATGTTGAAAGGAAGGGGTCAGAGTTCTGTGAAGTGAAATAATCTCTATTCCAGGCCCTTGTTCGTGGGTGATCCCAATGTTGAGCTTCTGGACAAAGGTCAAGTTCTGCACATAAAGAGCGCTCGGAGGACTGACAAAGGTCGGTATCAGTGCAGTGCCACCAACAGTGCCGGCAAGCAAGTTAAGGAGGTCAAGCTCATCATCCATGGTAAGTCCGTAGAATTCCTGATCCTGGAAAATCTTTCTGTTTTGGCCAGTAGAAAAAGGCTTACTTTGTCAAGAGAGGTGCTCAGATAAGTATAAATTAAGACCAATCTTGCAAAATTTGTGTGTAGACCTAATTTCATCTGTCAACACGGTGATATCTTGGGCGTCTATGTGTATCACATTCAGCATGGATGTAGACTGAATCTTGGCAAGTTTGGCATTTAAGTGATTTTGTGTATTTTTTATTGGTTTCTAATTGCTGAAAACAAAAAAAAAAGCTTTATAATTTTCTCATTAAATGATTACAAGTGATTTATTTTAATATCAAGTTTGCTTCATTCTGGTTTAGAGAGAGGAAAGTGAATTAGAAGAGTTTTATTTTAATGCAGTCATGGTCTTATTTTCCTTATTTTAGTGTTTGGAGTAGCTATTCATCAAGGAATAAGTTAAAGTTGGTAGACTTAGAGCATTGCAAAGCCAGTAAAAAACAGACCTAAATAATCTTGGAGAAAAGAATGTCCCACATGATCTGAAGGTACTGTGATGTGTTTGCTTGCCTAAACTGGTGTGCAGCAAGGACATCTACAGCAAAAGAAGCAGCATGAGTATGTGTATCTATATTAGCAGTATTATTGTTGTCAAAGTTTGCAGCACACTAAATTTTCATGTTTTTGCAAGCAGCAGAGATGTGCTAAACACAGGTAACTGCTGTGATTAGTGTAGATAAGTTAAAGGTAAAGGAAAAACTTAGAAAGGAGGAGGGGGAAGATTCATGGAAGAAGGAAAGGAGCTTTGGCAGGGGGTCTTCTAAAGGAGAGGAGAGTTTTGCGGTAGGGAGGACAAGGAGTGTGTGGAGGCCTGATCGAATCTGAAAACTATGAGCACATAGTGCTAGCCGAAGTAAGAGGGAAACAAGCAGAAATCTACAGGTGGGATAAGACAACTGGACCCAGTGTGTTAACTGTGGGAATCAGAAACCATGGGCACACAGGCTAACAAAGCCTCATTTCCCATGGCTTTGATTCTGAGGGTCTTTGGCTCTGACAACTGTGACCTTATGCCACGTTATACCCCTCATCGGAGACATTATTGTGAACTATCTCAGTCCATCAGAGTGGTGGGGAGATTAGGGGAATGAAAAAAGCACAAAGGAAGTTCCCAAAATCCTGAGTAGACCATACCAGACTTGAGGAGGGAGATGCAAATTGATGGTAGTAGAATGGGATTAGTCTCATTACTTTTAAATGCCTTGATCCTAGCCAGACAAACAGAAGCCCAGAGAATGAGTGAGGAACATGGATGCTAATTCGCGCTTGATCTTGTGTTTTCCTCTTTACTCCTACTTTTGGCTCCCACATTTTCCCAGAAGAACATGCTAAAATTGTTCCCCATCTCTGTGGACAAAAGCATTTGTTGAGGGAGACAAGTATTTACATATAGACTGGGGAAATTTCAGCATATTACATACATTTGCATACACAAATTATTTATTTAGGAAAACAGTTTGGCATGTTTTGGTAATCCGCAAGACCCATCCCTTAGGTGTAGATCCCAGCCCTGACACCTCTTCTTGTGTCAGTGTTGACATTTGCAATGAACATTTTGTGGAAGTCGGTGGAAGGGTTGGATATACTGTGTATGTTTGGCAGCAGAGGAGTTAATGTGTCTGCCAGATGTGTCTGGTACCTTCAGCGGCTGTAAATTTAGCTGTTGCCAATTGCACTGTGTTTTTATTACTTCTACAGAGATTTATAAACTCTTTATATTGGCTGATTTACATGAATGCTTGTTTGCGAGAAAAAAACATCTGAGCACTGCTGCCTGGAGAGTAAGGGAAATGAATGGGAGCCAAAAGTTTCAAAAATAGGAGTATAAAGCTAGCCTGCTAAGCTCATATTTAGTCTCAAAGTAAGTGACTTCATCTTCAGAAGTTGTGAGTATCCAGCAGTTCCCATCCAGTCAAGAGGATCTTGGATGCATTTGGTATTTCAAATGGCAGGTTATTGATGCTGGTTTCCTGATGCAACTCCTCAGGAGTGTAGGGACTGCCCTTCCTTTGCCCTTTGGAGACAGGGAAGAGGCAGACACATACACAGAGGTATTCTAGGAAGCGCTGCAGGGCTAGTTGACCTAACACATTGTAATCCTAGAAGGTAAAAGGTTTCCAGGCACCTGCAGCAAGGCAGCACTGCTCTGCACTGCTCTCCTCTGGCAGATGCTTCTTAGAGCCCTTTCATGTTGTGTTCTTGTGCTGCTTTCACCTCTCTGTATGCCTGAGGGAACTGTACAGACACCATACAATAAAACAATAAAATTTTCTGTTCTTACAATCTTCCAATATTTAAAACTTCACAGACTCGTATCCTAAGGCATTAATGCTTTTATTTTGTCTTTTGAAATAGTCCCACCTAGCATCAAAGGAGGAAATAGTACCACAGAGGTGTCAGCTCTTCTTGACAACCTTATAAATCTGGAGTGTGAAACCAAGGGAACTCCAGTTCCTACCATTACTTGGTACAAAGATGGACACACAATTATTTCCAGTCCCCAAGCCCAGTATGTAGACAGAGGGCAAATCCTGCAGATACCTCGGGCTCAAGTTTCTGACTCTGCAATGTACACTTGCCGGGTCACCAATGCTGTGGGAGCTGCTGAAAAAATCTATGAAGTGGATGTCTATGGTAAGTGAGAGTTTACTGAGCTTGATTATTTGTCATCTTACTAGAAATGTTTCCTGGAGACTTTTCTCAATAATATAATCAGGTTTGCAAGGACTGCCTTGAAAAAGTGGCCTGTGCTAGCAAACAAAGCTTTAGATCTGTGTTTAATTCTGTGGTTTATTTTTGAGGCAACACCAAAAAAGCTGATGATTCTTGATGTCGTGTTTTAGTGAGGTATAAAACTGTCTTCTCTAAAAGCTGGTTTCCTATCCCTCTCCTTCTCACAAATGCAAAACACAAAACTTTTATCTGAAATAACTCCTATGGGTGGGGTCTCCAGTGGTGTGCTTTACACCTCCAATTTTAATTTTCCCATCTCAAATCCCTGCAGATCATCTGTATCACACCACTGTTAAACAGTCAGCTATAACGTTTGAGTTTTCTGGTTTCCCTTCCTTTTGGCTTGCCCCCCAGCAGCACATTCTCACATGAAATTGTACGTGATGTAATAGCGCGTTGAGCCAAAGCAGGTTGGCAGAACTAACCCATTTGCCCTTTATACGTTTTCTGGCTACAGAATTAATTGCTTGCAATATATTTTTCCCCTTCTGCAGTTCCTCCGGTTATTGAGGGCGACGCTGACACAGTGCAGACGAGGCAGGTGGTTGCTGGCGATTCCGTGACGCTGGAATGTAAAGCGGAGGGCAACCCGGCGCCGCTGCTCACGTGGCTGAAGGACGGCGTGCCCGTGAGAGCCAGCGACAGCCTGCGCGTCCGGGCCGGCGGGAAACGGCTGGAGCTGCTCAACGCCAGCGAGGCCGACACGGGCCAGTACGTGTGCGTGGCTACCAGCATAGCTGGAGAGCAAGAAAGGAAGTACGAAGTCGAAGTCTTAGGTGTGTGGTGCAACGGAACTGCTAATTTCCTGGATTCACATTTCTCATGTTTCTGGTTTTGTTGGTATCATTGTGACATCGTGTTGCATATTTGGTTAAAATGCCACTTCTGATGCTTAAACGTTACTGGTGCTGTTTCTTTTTTCGTCTTTGCTACAGTCTCACCGATTGTGGAAGGTGGGGGTGAGCTCTCAGACTACATTGTGATTCTGCATAGCCTTTTAGAGTTGGATTGTGTAGCAACAGGGATACCCTCACCAACTATCATGTAAGAGATTTGTATTCCACTTAAAAAGAAAGAACTATACTGATTTTTTATATGCTCTCCTTGCTACTTAGTTATGATTAATAGGTCGAGAATGAAATCCTGGCTCCCCTGAAGGCAGCAAGAGGCATGTGCATCACAGGATCAGAATTTCACCATATTTTATTGTGCCAGTATGTGTGTCCTGGGGATTAGAATAGACAAAAGGAAATGATGAAGCTCTTCTTCCCTTACTAGTGCAGCCATATTCCTTTCATCAGCCAGGAATGATTGCTTTTATTTTGGAGGCTTCTCTCTCTTTGATCTGGAGGCATTTATTCCCCCCACTGCCTCTCAGCAGTCTGTCACCTTTCTCAGTTTAGTGTCTGTTCCCCTATATTTCTTTTCCCAGATAACTGAGTGAGTGGCACTTAAAAAAAACCTAGAATGATCTCCAAAGATCTAAGATCTCCAAACCTTCCTAGAAATGCAAGTATAGTTACTAAGGCATACTGTTAAACAAGAACAGGCATGTTTAGGACTGCCCTTGGTATTATAGTCATGAAAATCTGAAATTGTGCTCTCTCTTTGGTAGGTGGCTGAAGGATGGCCAGCCAGTTGAAGAAGGAGCTGGACAGAAGATCTTGTTAAACGGGCACAAACTGCTCATCTCTCGAGCTCAAGTGGCAGATGCTGGTCGCTATAAATGTGTGGCTGCAAATAAGGCTGGAGAACATGAAAGGGAATTTGAGGTTACTGTGCATGGTAAGCTACCCAAGAGGAAAAGAGCAGCAAACTGCCTTTGTTTTAAATTGCTAGCAAAACAGTGCTCACATATTTTGAAATGTTTGTTCTTTTTGGTGAAAAGATTGGAGATAACAGTAGATTAGAAATTGTCTTGTCTGATTTCCAAATTAGATTTCTTCTTGTCTGTGGTACATTACTATAATATAAATATGCATTTTCAAATGATATTTCATTTTTGTTTATGGTGTTTTTTGCAGTTCCTCCGTCCATCAAATCAACGGGGCTCTTGGAGAGAGCTATTGTGATATACAAGCCCGTGACCCTGCAGTGCATAGCCAATGGCATTCCCAGCCCTTCCATCACTTGGTTAAAAGATGGGCAACCAGTAAACACAGCCAGAGGAAATATAAGAGTAAGCACAACTCTTTTATGAGGTTCAAATCATGAAAAATGGTTACAGTAACTTGCATATATTAGACTTTTTGTTTGTTTATTTCCCATATACTAGGATAGAAAGATGCTAAAGGTCCATCCCAGAGAGTAATGGCTTTTTACCTGAATAGGATGGTGTCCTGGTTTGAGTAGCATTTAGTAGACTGAATCCCATTAGACATCTCCCTGCCAGCAGAGTTTGTGACTGTGAATTCAGAGCCTTCTCCATTCAGTTATTTCTTAATCTTCAAGATATTGTCATCTGCCAGTTACCAGTCAGCTCTACCCACTTGTCCCTGTGAGGCAGGAGTAGATCAACTTCTGTAAGTGCTGCCACTGCAGCACAAACATAGACATTTCCCTCTCCCTGGCTCTGGCTTCCACAGAGCATCCCTTCCTGGTGCCTGCCTGCTCCAAGGAGAAGGGTGCTTGTAATGGCTGTGATTTGCTTGAGGCTGGAGCAGTGCTTGCTGTCTTGCCCAGTGGCAGCTCTCTCAGCCTGCAGCATCCTGCTTGCCCCTTCCTCTGCAGATTAGCTCCCCTCGCAGCTGTACAGCTCATAATCCCCGTGTCCCAGGAACACTGACGTCTCTGCACTACTGGGACACTGCTTGCATGAATATTAACTGCAGGTTGGAGGATGGCACTGGCTGGATTGAGCATAAAGGTCTGCCCGTTGGGTAAAGTGGTTCCCTGCTCTTTGTTTTGGCACAGCTGGAGTCTTCAGGCCGTGTGCTGCAAGTTGTCAAGGCCCTGCTCGAAGATGCTGGCCGATACACTTGTGTGGCAACAAATGCTGCAGGAGAAGCCCAGCAGCACGTTCGGCTTCATGTGCATGGTAAGGACACTTCTGTCTCTAATTAGAAGCAAAACAGGGCTGTTTTGAGGCAGCTTTTTTATATCTTTGTTCTTTGTTTCCTTTTGTCTTTGAAAAGAGTGTTAATGTCAGGCTTTTTGTTATTTCCGCACTCCAGTCTGTCTTTTTTTTTTTNTTTTTTTTTTTGTCCCACTCACTGAGTAGGAAGTCAAGACAAAAGTGATTTCTTCAGATCTGACTTTACTAATGTGGTACCAAAGGCCACAAAAAGGAATGCATCTCCATTTATTTTATTGAGACATATACCAAGAAGCCAAGCACATTTCCACTAAACCACCAGGACACTCAGAACTGTATCCTGTTTCTGAATCAAGACATGACGTTCCACCATTGGCATTACCAATTGGAGCCAAGTCTTGTGGGGAAAATAACATTCCCCACATGAGCTTGTGTTGGGGAAATTTTACAGGAATGACTTTTCTGAGAGGGAAGCATTCTCTCATGAAGGGATCTTTTAGACAGGGTAGAAGGAATTTTATTTTCCAGCTAAGAGTGATAGAAAAGGAATTAGAGAAACGTCAGAAGTTGTTTGCATGTGAATTTGGTAAATGCTCTTGCCACAGTTTTGATGTACGTGCCTTAGAAGTGCAAAGTATTGTGCATTCTTGGTGTGATCCAACCTGAATGGAATAAAGAGCTGTTGGAATGGACTGTGGCAAACTGCTTCTAACGATGGTAGTGGCTCCTGTTGTCAGACAGAATCAGTAACTGGAAAATGTGAAATTGAAATGAAAATAGTTTTTTGCTTTCTCCTTCCATGAGGCCCAGAAAGAGAAGCCTCATCCCTCTTGTACTGCCGTTATGTACTTGTACTGTAATTATGACTGTAACTGTGTCATAATTATTGTTAGTGTCAGTCACACATTGCCAGCTCATTTCTTTGACACTTGGTCTGCTTGTTCAGGGTGTTGTATCTGGCAGATATCTGTTTGTAATCTGTCATATTGCAAATTTATAGAGATTAATAAGGTAAGCTGTCTTGCTTTCTAAAGCCCCTACTGTGTTAAGTTTAATGTTGCCAGCTCAAATTAGACAAACTTGCAATATTAGAAAAAATACTGTTCCGTGTTGTGAAACGTTCCTAAGTCCATTTTTAAATTCCACTGTTCCAGGAAAAAAAAATCACTGTGTTTAAAAACCACTTAAGTTACATAATTAGAGGACATTCAGCTTTCGAAGATCAGGTCCTGAGAATTTCCTCAGTCATCGAACAGTTAGTTGCAGCTTGTGCGACTGATTGCCCAGATTTTCTCAGAGGGCAGATTACTTTTGATGGGGGTTCTGCCAGCTGGGTGGTTGAGTTAATTAAAACCTGATGCTTTTTCTCTTTTCCCAGAACCACCCAATCTGGAGGATGCAGGGAGGATGTTAAATGAAACAGTAGTGGTAAATAATCCCATGCAGCTTGAATGCAGAGCATCTGGGAATCCGCTGCCAGGTATGTAATTGTGCCTCTGAGAACATGCAGCAAGGCTGATAACAAGCTTTCAGTTTTATATGTCCATTGAAAATAATGAATATTCTGAATTTAATTTACTAAAGCAAGCCAGTAACTGTTAAGGAGTATGTTTGATGGGAAATGTCAGTGTATATTGAGTGATGTGGATTGAGTGTTGGGGGATTCAGTAATATGAGTATTTCTGTTCAAATGAATGAATAACACAAGAATAAACTCTTCCCTTAAAGCAGTGCTCTGCCCCTAGGCAATAAAACTGTTAGACCTCTATTAAAGAGGGCCAAAACACATCTGCTCCTTCCACCCCGTTAGGTCAATACTGTGTAGTGTAGGGCAGACTTGCAGATCCTTGTGCACTGGGGGTGCAGGTTTGTCTCCTGTTAAGGCAGAGAACTCTAAAACAGTCTCCATTCTAGTTACTTCATTGCTGGGATTCAGTTGTAGGAGTTTTGGAATAGATGTTTCTTCATAAGGGTTTGGTTTAATTTATTTTAGATGTGCAAGAGAAAAAAATTCTTTTCAACAATATTCCTTACTATCTTTTACTGATAGGATGTAAAAATATTATGTTAATATGGTAATGGTTGTTTCTCTGCTAGTAATTGTCACAGCAAGTCATGGGAAGTACTGTATATCTAGGAGGTTATACCTGGTAGCTTGTGTCTAGTAGAAGTTTTTATTCTTGTGCTATGGAGAGCCCCATTTTCAGAAGAAAGTTCAGATGACCATCTTGGTTCAAACATCTCTACCTTGGGAATTATTTTCTGCAAAGTGCTGTTTTCTAAAATAATTTGGACCTGTATAAAACAAAATTTAAAATTATTGAAGATATATTTAAAATTTCTTTTTAAGATTTTTTTATCCATTTTGCACTGGTTTTCTTGTAATTTTTGTCTTCCAACTTGGCAATTGTATTGCAGAAAATGCTCAGTCCACAGCCGTTGCGTCTGATCGCATGTTGAACTGATGCTAGGGAAGCAGCAGTTACAGGCTCTGCTGCTGGAGGGTGCCATCTTTTGGCTGAGATGCAAAGAAATTCTCCATTTTTGTTGCTTACTGAGTTCCTGTGAATTTTTCTTTTAGCGTAGTAACAGCTTTCAGTTTTTCAGTTGAGTTCTGTTTCCATTGCATATGTTTAGCTTCTAAACTTCTGCAGGTGGTTTACATTTGTATTGGTTTGTAATGCTGGCTAGCTGTATCTGAAAACTCAGATGGAAAATTTGAAGCGTATTTAGCCCCAGTATCAGCTGTGAATTGTGGGGGGGCTGTTGGCAATTTTGTCTCCCTCCTGTTTCCTCCTGCAGTTATCACGTGGTACAAAGACGGTCGTCCCCTCACGAGCGCTGCCAGTGCCACGTTGCTGCAGAGGGGGCAGGTTCTGCAGATTGAGGATGCCCAGATCTCCGACACGGGCATTTATAAGTGTGTGGCTGTCAACACAGCGGGCACTGCTGAGCTGTTTTATAGTCTTCAGGTTCATGGTGAGTATCATAAAACACATGAAGAACATCTATATGCCCCACTTTGCTCTTTTCTGTTTTTATTACCTGTGCTTAGCAGAGTCTTCATCATTCTTCATCCCACCATACTGAAAGAGATGGGGCAGGGATGAAGGAGAAAGTTTTCACTTTTGCTATTAACCACTGTGGGAAACCATGGTTTGAAACAGGGGAATGTGGTGAAGGTTGTCACAGCCTGGGTGAACAAGCAGAGGCCCCAGGTTTTTGGCGAGGGTATTGAGAGGCACCACATTTGTGGAAACAGTTACTTATGTTGGCGTGGGCTTGGAACTCTGTGCTTTGTTCTGATGACCTTGAAGCCAACAGCTGATAAAGAAAGCAAACAGTCCAAATGCTCTTTCATAATCTAGGAAGTCTGCAGAAAAAAAATGTGCTTCATTTAATAGGACAAAGTGGAAATGTGGGTGTTTGCAGACAGGAGACACCTGATCAAAAGCCAAATTGCAGCCTTCCCGCTGATTGCACTGCAGTTTGGATCAGCCCCTCTTGCAAATTCTTTTCTTTGATTCTTTGATACGTGTCTGTTCCTGCCACTGGTTTTCAGGGGGAGTCTTCCATGCAAAACTAGAGCCCAGATTTGGCAGTGTCCCCAGCTGAGATACATGCACAGTATATTGTTCCTATTGATGTTCATTAGCGAACAGTGAGTTGAGCAATGTAATTCCTTGGGATTAGTGAGCATGTTTTGAAAAAATCGAGAAGTGGCTGAATGCCATTGACCCCACCCAGCCATTCATTCCCAGCAAATGCTTACGGCCAAGGTCATCACTCTGGTTAAACATAGCAGTGAAAAATAACTCCTAAGCATATGCTGTGTCTCTGTGGGTGACAGAATTTCAGCAGATACACCCAGGGTTTTCTAGGGAGCTAATACTCTCTGTCTCAGGGCACATAAAATTTGCCCCCCGCCCCCTCCAGAACAGTATCAATTCTATGAAATTGGTACAAAGTACCAATTACATCAAGTGCAGCTGAGACACCAGCCTGTCTACCTACATAACTGAGCTTGTCTTGCACAGGCCTTACAAGAGATTGTGCTTTCTATTTATGCAGGAGAAAGCTTAGCATCCAGTTGATTTGGTGATTGAGAAACCTTGATTCTTTTCTGCTAGTAACAGAGGCAAGAGTGATCATTGAAAGGGGAATGGGCTGAAGTGTTTCACATTGGGGAACCTGCTCAGCTGCAGCAAGCTACGCTGCGTTTCCCGAACACCTGCTCTGCATTTGTGCATGGCAGACAGCCTTGTAAATGAGCATTTCTCATGGCCCGTTGCTGGTTGTACTCAACAACGTATGTAGCTAATAGAGCATTGTGTGTGCAGTGTCCATGGCAGAAATTATCAGGTCGTTTTTGCGTGGATTGCTTAGAAAAAGCAATACTTGAGGCTCCTGTCTTAACAATAAATGGAGCTGCAGCTCAATTTAAAGGAAGCCGTTTGCATTCCAGTTTAGCATATTGACATATTTTCATTGTACTCAGACTTTTTATACTTCTTTCTCACCTCAATAATTTCTTTCAGACATCTAAGAGCAATAGAAGCTATTGAAATGAAATGAGGCAAGCATCTATATATGTGTGGAAAGAAGATTATAAAATCACATTAGCTTTATTGACCACTCCTTTTGCTATTACTGTAATTTTTAACAAATAGCAAGTGTGAGTTACATTTTTAGAGGTTGCCAACTTGATTAATACATCTGATTTCCAGTAATTATTTTTATACACTTTTTCCCATATAGGAGAGGTATGAGTAGATCGTACTGTTCTCCCCTTTTTGTAGGCGTGACTTGAGTATTAAGTTTTGTGACTGATACTGAAAACAAAGGTGCATTATTAAGTTTTAAGTTGTAGGTTATAAAGCAAAGAAAATTGTTTTGATTCTCCTGGTAAGTGAAACGCCTCCCTTTTTAGCACTTTTGCATTAAGATGCAAATGTGTGTGGAAAGCAGTCATTGGAATTTGGAGCTTGTTTTCCACAAGAATGTGTCAGTGCTGCACCCACATTTGTTTACTCATGAAAAAAGCAAAATAAAGGGAGCGTAGCACAAGCAGTAGAAACATACAGAAAATTGTACGTACATTCCTGTCTCCCTTTCTAATGTAGCTCTACAAAACTTTCTAGCTTGTTTACCTACAGTAAGTGTTTTGAGATGTTCCCTTAAGAAGTTTTTTTATGATGAGAGAGGCAGATATTGCACATGCTGATCTGCTTGAGCATGATAAATGTTCACATCTCCCTTGCAGGTCAGTTGGTTACTCTGCATATGCATTTGCTTTATTCAGCTTACGTGATTTTTTTTTTTCTGTAAACCCATTGTTATTAATGGCCTTTCCTAAGATCTAAGGGGAGTATTACAAAAGTTGGAGGAAATGGTTCCAGGTTTGGGTTTTGCAGTTGTCTGCTGGGCCATAGGCCCACTCTTGCTTACCACTGCCCGGCGGTTTCACCCAAGCAGAGAGATGAGAACTCAGCATGAAGCAGTCAAATAGCAAGAGTTCAGGAGTGGTAGCATCAGAAATCTTTCTTACACTGTCCTGCCTTGCAGGAGGAGAAAATTCATTTATTTTCCCTGTGATTAATATTTCTGCACAACTGTTTTATATTTGTGGGTTTTCTGTCTTCTCTTTGCCCAGTGCCGCCATCCATCTCTGGCAGCAGCGACACGGTGGCCGTGGTAGTGAATAATCTAGTGAGGCTGGAATGTGAAGCCAGAGGGATCCCTGCACCTATCCTGACGTGGCTGAAAGATGGGAGCCCCGTTTCCAGCTTTAGCGATGGACTCCAGGTGCTGTGTTTGCATCCTGCTCTCCGAGGCCTTTCCTATTTTGATATATTTAAAACTAGTGCAATTTAATGCAAAGGGAATAAGTTAAATGGTTTGGAATGAGATGACAAGACTTTCTGCTGTAGGATAGTGGAGTGGTGCAAATTTAGCTCCAGGAATTAGTGTGTGAAGTGAGCTCACTGTGAGTGTTTTGAAATAAGTTGGTCTTTACAAATGATTTCCTATTGAGCAAGAGTTTGCCTCAGCAAATTCATCACTTATTTGCAAGAAGGGGAAGTTGCACTGGATTTCTGTCCTGAAGACATCCATACCTTAAGGATTCTATGATACAGTTTAAAATTGGATAGTGCTAGAGAAGCAATGTTGAAAGGTTTGCACTGCAGTTCTTTTCAGGGACATAGATAAGGAGAACCTATCAGTCTGATGGGTTTCCATCGTAACAAACATGACTAACAAACAAAAAGCATGTTTAAGACATTTAGGGAATTATTTGGCCTAGATTCATATCATTCATAACAAGTGACATTGTTACTTTAATAAAAACAAAACAAAAAACTCTTTCCCAACATATGTGGTTCCTTCATTAACACGGTAACTTGGGAGGATATGCCTGGACCTATTCCTTCTGTACTTCTACATCAATTTTTTCAGGATAAATAGTAATCCAAAAAAAACACCCCACCAATACTGGTGTAAAGAGGTATTCCTGAGTTAAAACAAAAGAATGTGATTGCTTTTGGGATGTAACTTTAAGATCTGAAAGGAGTCGGGGGAATTTTGTGTAATACAGGGATAACTTGTTACAGACAGGAGGTATAAAAGTTCCCTACAGATTTGCATAAAGTTAGGCTTCTCCTTTGGCAAAATCTTGGTCAAAAGAGAACAGTTAAGTGCAAGGAAGAGTGTAGAGAAAAAAGAAACGATGATAAGCAATGGGAGAACTAATATTGTGCTTTGAAATAAAGCTCTAGTTTCAAGTCCTGGATACTGAGTGTGTCCTGCTTCTATTGCAGGTTCTGTCCGGAGGCCGTGTCCTAGCATTAACCAGTGTTCAGATCAGTGACACAGGGAAATACACGTGTGTTGCAGTGAATGCTGCAGGCGAGAGTCAAAGAGATATTAATCTCCGAGTTTATGGTGAGATTTTTGTGGCAGATTTCTATATTTTTCATGTAAAAACTGTTTACAAATTTTAATTGAATGCAAAATGGCTCAGGTCTTCATCAACCATTGAAAGACAAGGGTTCCAAACCACATTTAAAGTACAGGTGATGATTACAAATCTATGTATAGATTTGTAAACATACTGTTTCTTTTTTATTTTCTGGAACCTCTGTCCCTTTTAGCTAGATAAAATTAAGGAAGCTGGTTACAAGTATGTTTAAAATTATCATTGTGCGATAGAAGCTGTCCTGGGTTGAACTCAGCTGCAGAGCCATTTTGAATGAGGCTGTCATCAAAAAGTAATATCACCCTTAGGACTTAACCTCGAGTGGGCTAATGAGTCATGGGAGGAAAATAATTAAGAATGGTGCTGGAGCTGGAGTGGATAGAAATATGCAACATTCTGGGCCAGACTAGAAGATGGAACAGTCTAGACCGTGTTTGGTTGCCATGAGCATAACTAGATGAATATTAAACCTTGCTCCCTCACAACACAAACGCTTTACTGTCTGTCTTTCTATGTTTCATGAACTCGATTTTCTTTTGAACACAGTTCAGTTTGTGTAAGAGGGAAAGCAATTGGTGGGAAAATAATCAGAAATAAATTTGCCTTCTGCAGTAATGGATCAGCTTCCAGTTTTCATTTCTGCAGCAGTCATAAAGAATCTAGGCCTTTTGTGAAGTCTACAAGGAAAGTGAGATAAACAGTTCTTTTTTTTAACTTACTGTATTTCTTATCCACAGAGACCAGACTTTTCTCTAAATTATTTCCAAACTGTGAAATCAGCTGCTCTGCTAAGTACTTCCTCTGAAAAAAAACAAACCAAAGCTGTATTGTTAGTGGGGTTTGGAGAGCCATACTGCTGGCTTACTGAGCAGCACTCTGGGGCATTTTATAATCTCAGATTTGCTAATTAGTTCAATGTCTTTTTGTTCAAAGTGAAGTCTGGAGTATTTCTCCAAGACAATCCAACCGCTTCCCCTCTTCTTACTCCTGTGTATTGTGCAATCAGACATGCGATTTCTGGAGTAATGGATTGCAAGGCTAAATGTGAAGGAAAAGGGACAATAAAGGCTCTTGTATTTGGCTGTGTTAAAATTTTAGTTGTGCAAACTGAATTAGTACCTGCCAAACATAAAATTCCCCCTGGATACAAGCAGCCAGAACAAGTAACCTCCAGGACAGATTGAGTAGTGCGCAGGAGCAATGCAGAGGACTGCTAGCCTATCACTTTTTATTTATTTCTCTTTATTTCATTTTTATTTATTCCCGTTTTACAAGTCAGTTCATGCTTGAGACCCAAACGCTTCAAAACTTTCAAGATGGCAACGTTCTGGCGAAGGCAAAACGCTACCTGGGGAATCTCAGAAAACCCCAGCTGACCATGAGAGGGCATGGGGTTCCCCACGGACATGCAGCTTGGTGGGGAACGCTGATGCGAGGCCTGCATGGTGAATAGTTCAGGGCCATTGGCCACTTTTTAATTCAGCCTCATCAAGCCATAAACACCGGGGAATACTGCTCGCTGGCCATATGCTAAGGTTTTGTTCTCACTTCTCACTCACTTCCTTTTCTGACTCTGGAAAAACAGATATTTCCTAAAATGAAGAAAAAAGTATACATTTTCCTATTCAGGAACAACTAATAGACTTCACTTTAACTCTCTGCAAGCATATGGTTTCTACAGAGAAAACTTCACTCCAAATGAATGAAGTTCATTCGTTCTGATTTTTATACTCTAGAAATGCAGAAAGGTGAAAATGAGGTGGTCACTGAAACTGGTGTGCAAATTAAGAAGTGTTTGGTCCCAAGTATTGCAATAATTAGCTAGCAAATATCACACAAAACAACTCTTCAAAGTGTCAGCCACATTTTTATTGTCAGGAAGAGTTAAAACTTTTTGCAGCTTCTGGGTGAGCTAGCTGCTTCCATATTTTTTGTCTTGTGATATGAAGGAGACTTAAGCTGTATGTGGGAAAGGTGCTCTTCTCTTTTCATTAAATAAAGAGTTTTAAGCCCTGCAATATGTCCTGCTCCGGGGCGTGCAGCACGCCCAAGGCTTCCTTGTTCTGCCTGCCTGTTGCAGTTCCGCCGGACATCATGGGCGAGGAGCAGAACGTCTCGGTGCTCCTCGGGCAGCCCGTGGAGCTGCGGTGCCGCAGCCGCGCGGTGCCGCCCGCCCTGCTGGCCTGGCTCAAGGACGGGCGCCCCTTGCTGAAGAAACCAGGTCTGAGCGTCGCCGAGGACGGCAGCGCCTTGAAGGTAAAAGGGGTCGTGCTGTGGCTGCCTGGGCAGCAGATCCACCGCGGAGGGACTAGATCTGCTTGGGAGGCCGGACCCTCTGGTGCCAAAGGGTATTGCATGGATGGACACACGTCCAGGCACACACGTGTTTGAGCACAGGTTTTGCACTAATACTGTATTATGAATATTTAAGGAGATAAATGTGAAAATAAAAGTTGAAAACTGAGCAGCCTCTTCCTGCTGCATTTCTTTGCAGTAACGTGGAAAGAAAACCCCAGAGTTTTCATTTTCTTTCTAGATTGACGGAGCTCAAGTTCAGGACACAGGCCGTTATACTTGCGAGGCGACAAATGTTGCTGGGAAAACTGAGAAGCACTACAATGTCAATGTTTGGGGTAAGATTAAATAAGATTATTCTCAATATGGGAACAGGGCTCAGAGTGAAGTTACGACGCGAGACACTCAAACACTCTGTATTTCATAAGCGTTTAATTTCTAAAGTTCATGCAGAGAAACATTGTGTTTGCTGTCATTTAACATTCCCAGGAAAGCATACACATTTTAAATTATTGCAGAAAAAAGATAATTTCATAGTTCAGAACTGTGTCATTATTTATTCAAAAGAAACTCTTCCAGGGTTGAAGTGAGGTGTGGATAGTGCAATATCGCATTAGACCCAGGCCAAAGCATATGCACCTATTTGCTGGACATTTCTTCTTTGTCTCCCTGTTTTCTCTGTCCTTTAGCTCCCTACCCATTCCTGGAAGATTTGTCCTGTTGCAAGAACTTTTGGTGATGGAGAGATCTGCATTAGTTCTTTAGTGCGGTGAGACCAGTAGTGTCTTGAGGGAGGGGATAGTTCTTTGCTAGTTAGCAGCTATGATGGAATTAGCTTAATAGAAACCACGAGTTGCCTGGGAAAGTCCTTGTGGATAACTGTTTAGAATTACCATCTTTGTTTACACACAGCGAGCAGAAGTCCTGCCTGCCATATTTTAAATTTTAAATCCAGGAAATCTGTTTTTCCAAGGATTGGTGAGATCCTGGGAGCTAGCTCTGGTTCCAGAAACTGGTGGAATAAGCCCATGTGTTAAATGTACGACAGACCTCCTTAGAGAATGGCACAAACTTTCTGATTAGAAGCAGAGCAGCTAAAGGTTGAAACCAGTATAGTACCATAAAAACCTCTGCAGACAGCCTTTCTGAAACTCTGTATATCCATTTGCTGCTTAGCAAAGAGTTAGCCTGAAGAGCAGTGGAACAGGCTGCCCAGGGAGGTTGTGGAGTCTCCTTCTCTGGAGGTCTTCAAAACCCGCCTGGATGCCACCCTGTGCCACATGCTCTAGGTGTGCCTGCTTGAGCAGGAAGGTTGGACTAGATGATCTGTAGAGGTCCCTTCCAACCTTAAATATTCTGAAATATTCTGAAATATTCTGAAGTTTCAGAAGGAATAGTGCTCTTTTGTTGTGTGCATTGGAAATGGGCTGGAGAAGTTATTCACAAGTGAGTGTTTCTTCTTTGATTTCAGCCTGCATTCTCTGGTGGGGCTTTTGGGTCTATTTTCAAGTATTACCTATGCTGTTCTCATCTAAAGCAAATGGGTCCCTCCCTTCAGGAAGGCAGTTTTCCCTTCCCCAGTGATTGAGGCAGTGAAGTTTAAGATGTTGAGAATCAGAGTGAAAGGAGATTGGCTCCTTTTCCCTGCAGCTGTTTCACAGTCACTAGGTGTTGAGCAGGGCTGGTGCTCTGCTCTGGCAGGACAGCTGAAGCAGGGGAATTCTGAGTGTAGGGTGTAGCAGCCAGTGGGCTGCGTTGCTGGAGGAGATATTCAAAGCAAAAAATCTCGCTGAATTTAAAAAAAACATTTGCATACTAATGGTGATATTTGTAGGTTTGTGAGTCTCTGTGTACATAGTTTTCATAGTACATAGTAACTTTGTAGGGTGAAGCCACTTCAAAAAGTCAGCCATAGGTGCAGCCTGTGCCTACACCACCTCAGAGACTAGAGGGGTGGGTTTGGTCATTCCCAAGCAGAGTGTTCCCTGCCAGGCTCTGGTTCACAGCTCTATGGAGGCAGATGTGTAAATCCCTTCATGCACGCTGGGACCCATCTGCCCAAGACTCAAGAAGATCTGGCTTTTGGCTAATAACATTCTATTTCACATGATATTGAATATTTGGCCTTTCTTTTCAGTGTCCCCGAGTATCCATGGCTCAGGTGACATCTCTCAGCTGACAGTAATTGAAGGAAGCCTGATAAGCCTGATATGTGAGTCCAGTGGCATCCCTCCACCCAGTCTGACTTGGAAAAAGAATGGTGAGTTACCACCTCTTGTCCATTTTATAAAACAAATGCAAAGATTTTTGGTATTTTTTTTTTGCATTTTCTTGTGATCATTTTAGACAGCATTTTTCAGGGTGTTTAGGAGACTCCTGAGCTGACTTAAAAATGGACAGTTAATGCATATTGATGAAGCACATGTTCCTTCTGAATATGCTTATTTACTACAGCACAGCAGGACTACATCTGGGCTTGTTTAAGAGTCCCAGGTGGCGTGGCCACGAGTGGTGAAATGCTGTGGTGTGTGGGCATCTCTGTGATCCACGGGGGCACAGAGATGTGTCCTCCAGGTTCTTTCAAAATGTGCAGCCGTGGCACACAGCCAGGTGATGAAAATGCACTTAGCTGGGATAGTTGCCTTTGGATCTACTCAACTTTTCTCTCATCTCAACTTAATATTCAAAGTAGTATGCACACCTGTTTCCTTTAGGGATTAAAGTAACCGCTGACAAATACCTCTTAGGCCTAGGTATAGTAAAGTAGTTATTTTGACACCTCTTAAGCACAAATGCTGTCAGAGGCAGAGGATTAGGCAAACTAAGGAACCAAACTCTTTAATAGTAATTACTGTACTTTTAATCAATCTTATCTGTGTTGTTCTATGGCATTCAATGTGCTTTGCACTTACCTTAATTAGCATCTGGAAAGAGCAGATTTAATTACAAAGCACTTTTCCACTATGTGAATTTTTCCAGGAAAATAAAGCTTATCAAGTTCTTCTTAAAGCCTTTCTCATGGAAGCAAAAAATGCACAACGTGAGATATTGCAGTATTGTGCAACAAAGCCAAAGTGTGTGCACTTAAATGGCAAATACTAAATTGAAACTATTTGCATGTCTAGAAAGTCATTTGGAAAGCTGTGCAAATTTGAATAATACTAAATAATTGAATTCTTCAGCATTCTTGAAATATAGTACATACATTCAGAGAGAAGATTTTCAAAGATATAAGTGGGAAATGAAAACTGAGCTTGTAAGAATTTTGAATGGGAAATGCACATTTTTTTTGTCATGAAGTCTCCCCGTGGTCTCTAAAGGTGAGCAGAGGTGCCTAATTGTAGATCACAAAGTTTGAGAACTCTGCTGAGAGAATATTATATTATTTTGCTGTACTAGAAGTCTGATATTTCTGATGAGGATTTTCGGGGTGGACGGATATGTACACATGCTGTGGGATATAAAATACCCAGATGGTCCAGGTGATGAACCACCTGAGCAACTTCCCTGGCACACTCGTCTCTTGCAGGCTCCCTGTTGGTGCCTGACCTTTCGGGAAGAGTGAGGGTGCTGTCTGGGGGCAGGCAGCTGCAGATTTCCATTGCTGAAAAGTCTGATGCTGCATTTTACACTTGCGTGGCTTCGAACGTGGCTGGAAATGCAAAGAAGAATTACAGTTTGCAAGTGTACGGTAGGTTCATAGTTCACCACTCTGATACAGAGTTAGGCTATGAAAGAATTCTCGGTATAGGGAGGCTAGGTTGGGAGATTTTCAAGAGTCAAACTCATGTTTCCATTTTTAAAATGCCTGTAAACTCTATTTAAAATGTTCTTGGGGTGGAGGAGGGGTCATCTGTCTTTACAGAGCCCACACAGAGAACATTATGAGCTGCAGAGTGCCCCTAGCTCAGTTGCCAGAAATAATTCACAATAACTAGTCTTTTGTTAAAATACTAATGATTAGCTCAGTTACTGTGCTCAGATATTGGTGAAGATCCTGAAATGCAGCATTTGTTTGACTTCTGTGTCTTTTCCTTTCATAGTTCGTCCAACTATTTTGAACAGTGGTAGCCACCCATCAGAAGTTGTTGTCACCCAAGGAAGTGAAGTTTCCTTGGAATGCAAGGTCCAGGGTATTCCAGAGCCAACAATAACGTGGATGAAGGATGGCCGTCCGTTGGCCAGCGGAAGGGACTTAGAAATACTTCATGACGGGCTCTTTCTTCAGCTGAAAAATGCCCTGGTGTCAGACACTGGCCGCTACGTGTGCGTTGCTGCCAACGTGGCAGGGCTGGCTGACAGAAAGTATGATTTAAACGTTCATGGTGAGTATGTCAGAAAAAAAGGAGCAGGAGCATCAGAAACAAATGAAACCTTAAACCTCTCCAAGGACACTAAAAGATATTAGTGTACTGAAATATCCTAGATATCTGAGAGAGAAAAATCAAAATTTGAACAAGAACACCCTGCTGTTGGCCCCTGTTTGAAGAGAGTTGCCTGAGTCAGCACCTACTCGTCAAATGCTCTCATTTCTGCCCTCTCTGAATTATTTGAAGATGGTGTCCAAGCAATAATGCATCTCAGTTATTGAATTTGGTGGCATTTATTACAGCCTCATATTATGTTACAGCCACTTTGATTCAGAACAGGACTTCTCTTGCATATGATTTTTTTTTCTTACCCTTTACCAAACACTGAATATTTGTGCTTTGAAAGCATATAGCCAGGAAGGAATGAAGTTGCTCTGCCACTAAACCAGGAGAACGGATTATAGGGGTTTAGTGACCAGATTCTTGGCAAATCCCATCATATCCCAGAGGCAGATGAGTAGCTCTCTATAGTGGGGATGCAGGTCAGGACTTGCACTGAAGTCCTAAAGAGGGGAAAAGGGTTATAGAAACCCAGGTTATCTGTTTGGTAGTATGAACTACAGAAATACTTCCAAAATGGGACTATTCCCACTAGGAAAGGAAAGGCCAAAATAAATTTATTTTACTTACTTTAATCTGTAAAAGAGGTTGTTGTGTGGGGTGATAATCATAAACTGTTACTCATAAACTGTTATTTGCTGGGGGTCTTAAGCCATAATATAAAGGTAATAGTTCTGATAAAGTTATTTTAATTAATTAATTTTAAGATACTTTTGTCCAGTGACTTCATGATCTTTTACCTTTCTCCTTGCAGTTGCACAAGCTTGTCATTAATGTAACCAATGTCTTCTCACTTATCAGGCCTGTCTTAACTTGAATGCATTGTCCTTTGGATGACAGAATGCTTTGAGACAACCAGGAGTCATTTTTATTTGGTGTGAAGTGTGATTTTTCTTTCCTTTTGCTCTGTAGTTCCCCCGAGTATCACTGGTGACCTGCAGATACCTGAAAACATCAGCATTGTGGAGAAAAATCCCATCTCACTGACCTGCGAAGCTTCAGGAATTCCCCTGCCCTTGATAACATGGCTCAAGAACGGATGGCCTGTCACTGCAAACAGCTCAGTGAGGATCCTCTCAGGTACCAGAAGCTTGGAAGCTGTTTTTTGGATTTCTTAATGGGATTTTAGTGAAGGGCTCTCTGCATCAGCAGAGCAGGCATTTTGTATGCCCGACGTTTGATTCAATGATCTTTAAAGACAAGGAGGAAAAAAGAAACCCTTATCCAGTACCAAATTGTTCAGCAGGTGGAATCAGATTGGCTGGAGTACAAGTATGGATAACTAACTACATAAGCTATTTAAGTCTTTACCAAACTTTACTTGGAGAGGACAAAGGTGTGATAGCTGCTAGGGCACACGGTCTGTGGTACAGTGTACATGATAATGTAAATATTGTCTGGCCTTGGAGCTGACCAAATCTGATCTTTAAAATACCTTCTTTTAGAAGCCTAAGAAGGTGTCAGGCAGGGAAGGACAGCACAGAGCAGTTCACTGGCAAGAGGGCAAGAACAACACAAAGTTCTGTGGACGCAGGGTAGCTTGTGATAGGCAGAGAAACAGCTCCTCTTCGTGAAGGATCTTGACTTCCAAGTTCAGATGTGTTCTGATGTGTCCATAGTGATTGACAGAAGTGAGCGAAATAGGAAGGGCTCAATACACAGCCTGTAAACCACAGTCCTGCAGGGAAGGGAGACTGTTCTGAGGAAGCTTCTAATACTTGGCCATAGCCAAGCCATCTAGCAGCGTGCATATGGGAAAACCATGAGGATAAAAGGATATGGAGAAAGGAGTGGCTGTCTGATTCTTATCCGAGAGAAATCTGCCTTGCCACCTACAAAAACAATTTCTTTGGGGGATGATAGTTGCTGTTTTGCCTGCTGATTTCTACACCCACACTAACATCAGCACCCTGATTGCAGCCCTGGGAAGGGTGAGGCACAGAAAGATGTTTATTGTCTGAATGTTAGTGGTAGTGGGAGGGGGAAAACAGGCCAGAGCTTGGTGCTGTTGTTTTTCCCAGCAAACTCCGTGCTTTCGTGCAGTTCTTTATTATAAACTACACATTGCAGTAGTGAACTCTGACCAATATGGCATTGGGGGGTTTTGTTTGTGTCTGTACAACTGTTAAAAATAAATAAAGGCAAGCAACAAACAAACAAAACCCTTCAGCTAATATTCAAAAGGTAAAATACTTTGCCAAAGCAACATTTCAGCGCTGTTGATTGAAAACATGCTTGGCATTGCAGATGATTTAAATGTGTGGACACACTGTTGGCAGCTTGAAATAGCTTGGAAACTGGGCTGGTGTTTTTTCTTGATGATGCTCCATCCTGAGCCCTTTGCAAAAAATTACATCTGCACCATAACCCATCCGTCCTCCTCAGCGGCACGCACCAAGCTGCGTGCCAGCTTTGGGAAGGAGAGGGGCTGTTCCTAAGTCCCAGTGACATGTAGAGAAGTCATCTCCTGCCTCAGCACTGGAGCTGCTGCTCTGCACATGTGTGATCTCAGAGAGAGCTGCACAGTCTCCTGCAGGTAGATGCCTCCTCCACGTGGCTTCTTACAGGGCTTTGCTCAGCCGTGGAAAGGATCAGGGTGATACAAGGCTGTGAGACCCAAGCCCTCCCACATCTTACAGTGCTCCCTGCAGCAGGTGTGAGTCCTTGGGCTAAGGCACATCCAGGGGCGGTTTCTTTCTTCAAAGCACATGACCAGAAACATGAATTTGGGGGATATATCTCAGTAAGGAGGCTCTGGGGATATCCATAGGCAGATGATGTGCAGTTCAGAGGTGGGGTGCTGTGCACTGATGATGGCTGATGTGAGACTGCTACTGAGGGAGTGAAGGCTGAAAGATGGCCATCACATTTGTGTGTATAATGAACGGCTCATTTTTCCTTTTGTTTGGCTGTTCCTCTGCCAGAAAGGAAGCAAAGAGAAAATACCCTGCTAGGGAAAAGTGAGGAGGTTCTTGGTCCTTTGCTCAAACATACTTGCACATCTTCTCTCCTTTCAAGCAGCAGACTCTAATGATGGTGCATGCTGTGGCTTTCCCCTCAGGAGGCAGGACGCTCCGTCTGACCCACACAAGTGTAGAAGATGCAGGTCAATACACGTGTGTAGTGACGAATGCTGCAGGAGAAGCAAGGAAGGACTTTGACCTTTCTGTTCTAGGTAAGTGTGATGATTTTTGTTAGAATTAAAGAAAGGGAGCTTGCTATATACTTCGGTAGTACTTTGAAAAGTACTTTGCCAAAGCGTAGGGAGGAAAAAATTACAGATAATAACGTGGTCTGGAAATGAGCTTTTAGGTAAGATGGGTAAGATGGTAAGATGGGGGATTGGTGGTTCTTGACACATCAGTTCTCATCTGGTCCACTGCACAGCTCAGAAATACCATGATGGCAGGACCAAGGGGACAGGGGGATAGGGCTGTTTCTTTTGGCAGCAGTCTGAACTGAAGCTGGCGTAAAGTCGAAGGAAAACTACAGCTGCAGGAAGGCAAGTGGAAGTCATTCTGGGAACTGGGTGCATCTCGTGCTAGAAGGCAGGGAGCTGCAACCCCTGTGATAGTTCTTATGCATTTAAAACCAGCTGCACTGGGTAGAATATTTGTTAGTTTAGCTGTGTGATGAAAATAATCTGTTGCAACAAAGAGGTGAAAACAAAGCCAAGACCTACTGTGAAATTAAACATTGGGCCTGGAATTGTTTTTTGCGCAACAGAAATCTCTGTTCCAAGGAAAATCTTTGATCAGGGAAGCTTTTGCTACTGTGAAGCAACCAAACAACATGTGATAGCGGATGCTCCTGCTGATGTATTTAGACAAGCAGTAATGCAGCAGTCTCTTTACATGAGAACATTTACAGGTATATAGAGCCTTCGATGTGTAAATTTGTCTAGTGCCTTAGTTGCAGAAATAGATTTTTTCTGCTCTTTGCTTGAGTCACTATTTATTATTTCTGCTAGTAATTACAGGCCTTAAGCAGGTTGTCTTAGATCATTAGTGTGTAGAATCCGACTGTAGGCCTTTTCTGTAAGATGTAGTGCACAATCTGCTTCCTTTTGCCTTCAGCTGACGTGGGCATATAATAACTTAGATTCGTGTCAGTTCGTGTTTATTTGATGAGCTCATGGAAGTGTAAATATGGCAGAATGGAGGAGATGGCCAACCACTGAAAAGCCTGCATTGTTTTACTGTTTTCTTTGGAAGGTTTCTAGCAGAAGGGTGTTCACGAGGCTTCTGGGAGCCTCTCTCGCACGGGCTTTGTTTGCCTTGAAGAAGAATGCTCAGTGAAGCCCAGTTCAAGGGGCTCAGTGGAAAATTCCATTGTTGGCTCTTCCCTGCCCTCCCCCCAGTGATTTTTTTTGTCTTTCTAGAGGAAAGTTACTGGAATGCGGGCTGAGCGCGGCGCAGCAGCGTGCTGCAAGCGCAGTGGGCAGGAACGTTCCTGGGCTGCAGCCCCTGCGCGGAGAGCCCAGCCTTGGAAGCAGGATCCTGCTGGGTTTGCAGAGTGCTTGGTGTCATACGTCTGCAGTTAATGTGTGCTCACAATTTGCTCTGGAGTTTTGGGGCCAAAACCATAAATTGTGCATAAATAAGTGTATTTATGAACAAGGACGTTTGGCCTGACTTGGAAGTCCTGATGGGTATGATTTTTGGCTGTGTTTTCTCCCGTCTAATATCGTGTGTCTTTGTCCAGCCACATTTGAATGCTAGGACCCCTAGGAAAGCCTCTTTTGCTTTGCTTGCACAGTGGCAGCAGGGAATTTGACTGTAACTGCATTACAAGTTGGTAAGAGAGCCAGTACTGCCCACCAAGGTTCTGCTAGCCATGATCCCACCACATACCCTGCTCAGATGCCAGCGTTTAGCTGCTTTGAAATAGTCTCCTCACCATTCCAGCCATCCAGTGTGATGCAAACTTATTGTAACTTTTTGTTTTCTTCAGTTTCCTTTTTGTTCTCTTTGTCAGTATCAGAGATTCGATGTGACGCAGCTTTTTCTCAGTTGACAGTGAATTCAGCAGATCTTATTTTACCTTAATTCTGCCTGTGATTCTTGTTTTTATGAAACTTTTGCTTCCATCTTACTGGTAGGTCACAAATAAGCTGTTAAGTATATTTTCTTTTCTTGTGTCATCAAGTGGTCAATCCTACAGTAAGGTTTTTCTTATAACAAGTAGAGTATTTTGAGTGTGGGTAGGTATTTTAATAGCATAGTTATGTCTTTTATTTCTCCACAGAAACAGGGTTTATAGCACTGTAAGATGCATTAGACTCATAATTTGTTTGTCCCCCTCTGTGGAATTAACTGTATCAGTATGAAACACATTTATGCCTTTACACAGCATCCACCCTTTGGTAATCTACTATATTGCTTTCACTGTGCCAGTAGAGGAAAAGATGAAACAACAACAACAACAACAAAGTATGTGAACAAACAGGCTTTGTCTCTCTCTCTCTTTCTTTTATCACTTTCTCTAGTGTTCTGGGTAGATGCTTTAAATTACTTTTGGAGAACAAGCGACGCTTAAACTTAAGCCATGGTTTTGAACAAATAAAAACACTAGCTTCTTTATCACGGTGATAGAATTTGCTTACAAACTTACAAAATGTGCTGGTGCATAAAGTCACAGAAACATAGAATCACAGAATGTTCAAGGTTGGAAGGGACCTCTAGAGATCATCTAGTCCAACCTTCCTGCTCAAGCAGGGACATCTAGAGCATGTCAATCCTGGCACGTTAACGAAGTGTCCACTACCACTGCTTGTCATCTATTGCTCTGCTGATTACGCTCGAAAGTGTGAGGAATGCAGCTGCTCAGCACTTTGAGCATCCTCCAGCTCCACAGAGACAGCAAGGTGAGCACCTTGAGGGGCTGCGGTCCCTCTGTGTGGAGCAGGGTGCTTAAGGAGTGCAGAACTTGGCTGTCTCACGTCTGGACGTGACTCTGGGAGGGCTGACTGAGCTGCTCGTGGGTCTGTGTGGCCGAAGCAAGCGTGTCCTCAGGCATTGCCTTTGCCTTTGGTACGTAGTGGTTGCAAGAAATGTTCTGATTACAAAACCATTGAGGCTGGAAGGAAACTCTGGGGATCATCTAATCCACCCGACAGGCTCAAGGAGTGTGTCACCTAGAGCACGTGGCCCAGGACCCTATCAGCTTTTAGTACCTCCAAGGATGGAGAGATTTGATATTGATGTTGTCATCTTTTCTGCCTGCAGTTCCTCCAGGGATCGTGGGGGAAAATAAGCTGGAAGATGTGAAAGTGAAAGAGAAGCACAGTGTTACCCTCACGTGTGAAGTGATAGGTAAAAATATACAGTATTACTTGTCATTACTGATCAATCCCATGGTGTTTCTCATCAGTGATTTTGTTTTAAATAGAACCTTCAATCCAGTGGAAATTTTTAATTTAAGATTCAACACGTAGCAGAAGGAAGGAATTCATACATATAGCTTGTATGCAATGTAACCAAGAGGACAATGCCTTGATATTTCTACTTGAAAACCCTGTAGGATTAAGGGGATGTGTATATAGAACCTTCAGAAGGCTACAAGGTTATAGAATATGTATTCAAAATATCTCTCTAAAGGATATATTTCAAGAGAACATCTGAAACTATATTTTTCCATTATTCGATTTATTCTATATATATTACATATGTAGAAAGCTTAGGCTATTTTAGAAACTGTGGAACAACTAATACTTGCAATTTCCTGTAATTCATTAAGGGAACCCTGTACCCCAGATCACTTGGATAAAGGATGGGCAGCCCCTCCTTGAGGATGAAGATCACAGTTTTCTGTCCCGGGGGCGTTTTCTGCAAATCGCCAATGCCCAAGTCACCGACACGGGCAGATACGCGTGTATCGCATCTAACGCGGCTGGAGATAAGAGCAAAAGCTACAGTCTGAATGTACTTGGTAAGAAAGCAAGTGGTGCTGACTGGTGCAGAAAAAGGGCTAATCTCAAGGCGACCACATAGTCACACTGAGATTTTATAGCCTTCGTTTAGAGCAGTGTTTACCAGACACAAGCCAAATTCCTACACCGGCTGTTCAATAGACAAGTTGCTTTTCATGGCATTCCCATCTCTGATTCGTGCTTTTTCTGCTCCCAGTGTCTCCAGCCATTGCGGGTGCAGATGGCCGTGGAATTGCAGAAGACATCACTGTTATTCTCAATAGCCCAACCTCCCTAGTTTGTGAGGCTTACTCCTACCCTCCAGCCACAATCACCTGGCTGAAAGATGGCAGTCCTGTGGAATCAGACAGGAATATCCGCATATTGCCAGGTAAAGCCTTTCTTTTTCTTGTGGAGAGGGAAAATAGAACTTTACTATTTTATTGCTTAATTACTGTTACAGAACTCTTTTTGATAACATCTAAGAATATGTTTTTATTAAGTCCAGTGTTTTGTACTTTGGCAGACCTTTGCATTACAGTATCTCTAAATGCTTCACAATTAACTGATTAGCTCCTTGTATTTTTTTCATATTGAAGTATTTGTCCTTTTGTTCTGTAAAGATAATGTTCTAAAGTTCACTGCAGTTACTCACGAGTGTAAATAATGTGAAATTCAGTGTGGAAATGAGCTAGGTAGAAAGAGATACAACCAATAAAGTTAGTAAAATATGAGTGATTTTTTCTAAGTTACTAGTAATTTGCCATTTTTCTCTCTATGGAATAACTAGCACACCTGTGAAGATGGGAAATGGGAAAAGCTCCACTAGTAACACTAAAGTAATGCAGAAGAACAAGTAATTTAGTATTGTTAACCGCAAGTGTTCAGAGGAAAAATGAGTAGTGTTATTAGCTAGAGGTTGAATTACTACATTGGGGGACAATTTCTGGGAATGCAGTCTGAAAAGAGTTGCAGCCAAATGAAATAGTGACTCATCTCTGAGAATGCAGACAATATAAATAATAAATAAACAGGGTGCTATGGGAAGGAAACTGATGGGTGTCCAAGTTGTAAAGGCCACCTGAACTCCTAAATCCCAACGATTCATTCTTGGTCACACTTCATTTCACATAGTGGCTGCTGCCTCTGTCCAGTCTTCAGGGAGCATTAAGGGCCTCTCTGAATTGAAGTAGCACACTGAAACAAAACCACATTTTAGAGGCTCTTGTCAAGCCCTGTGTGTTCAATAGTTCACCTTTACTTAGTCTCAGTGCTTATGCTTCATCCTCTCCATTCTGCTTAATTCCTTTTCTCTGAAGTACAGAACCCTAAATCTAAATATCTTCTAAAAACTTCTTGTGCAGAACTATGTTAACAAATTCTCCAGGAATCCAGAAGCAGAAAATTGGATTTCAAAGTGCTGTGTAAATCACATGCTTGTTCATTACCTTGTCTACCTGGTGATATGTATTTAGTTTGTTGTGCTCATCTAAGAGCAGAATTTGGCTGCAGGATGAAGGATGAAGAATACCCTGTGGACCATTTAAATAATTGGCAAGCAAGAATATAATGTGGTTGCTATTAAAGAATGATCTCTTTTGGCAGGAGGGCGAACTCTGCAAATTCTGAGCGCACAGGAGGACAACGCAGGAAGATACACCTGCATAGCCACAAACGAGGCTGGAGAAAGTCTGAAACACTATGAAGTGAAAGTCTACGGTAAGGAAATACTTCCAGTGCTGATTGGTTTTAGTTCTCCCTTTTCTGTCTTTTGTGGTGTTGGCTGTCCTCGAAGGGGAGATTTTTGAAGCAGTCGTTAGTGGCCTTGTTTAGCTAACACCTGCCTTGGCTGACTGGATGCTTGGGACATTGACTGCAGAAAGACTCTGGAAAAGTTGTTTCTGCATCCTTTACAAGTGCTTTTTTTGGCCGGAAATTTTTGTACCACCCAGTGAAAGACATTTAATATACAACGAAGTCTAGTTTCCATTGTAATTTTTCCGGTTATGAATTTGAAATTAGTTAAAAGCTGCACAACGGGAAACCAGAAGAAGGAGTCTCAAGACCATCTGAGCTCTTTTAAAGAAATGGGGTGGTATGGGAGGTGTGCAAAAAAAATGGCTTAGCATCTAGTGGCAAACTTTCTTGGGTAGGTAAAAGAGGAGGATACTATTTTTATATCCTTCCATAAAATACCATATGCATAGAAGCTTTTCTGTGGAAGATTTCTTGACAGCACTTTTTCCTTTGGGCATCTGCACCTAATACTCTATTTTAATGCTCAACGTCTTCATTATGAGCTCAGTCAAGCATGGCTTCTTACTTCTTTTTATATTTGCTAATCTTCTAGTCAGAATTTGGGTTGCTTCCTCCCAGTAACTGTGCTGTTATTTTAATTACACTAAGTTCCTAATAAGGTCCCACAGGATTAGGAATAATGAGAAGATTATGAAAGAGCTCATTATCAGCGTATAACTATATAGCAAAATAAATGCCCCCTTTCTTCCTCTGAAAAGCCATTGCAGCTGCCAGTCATTCTGATACTGTAGGCTTCAGGGAGAATTTTAAATATCCTGTTGTGAAAAGAATGGGAAGCACTTGAAAAAATAAGTTAAATGATTAAAATATTTTAGGAGACCGATGTGGGGGGTTGCTTAAGAATTTTGAAGTGTTCTGTTTTCATTCTGATTCAGAACAAAACAAAGTTTTGCAACACTGGGGTTTTCAACAGAGTGGAAATTCTGAGTTTTGACCAGCTACTCTGAGGGTGGACTTCAGTTCAAACATATGTTTTTGAAAATAGTTGTTTCCTTTACAATGTTTTTTAGTGGTTGCAGTACACACAAATTTGTAGAATTCAAGCCAAACACCTAATAATGTGATATATAGGTAAGTAAGGCCATGGCCAGGTTTGCATTTCAAAAATGTTTAACACAACTGCAGTAACCCAGCTATGGGAAGGAGGCGGGTTTGAGAGGGGATGCACTTGTCTACCCGGAGCTCACCACTGTTTACCCTGTATCCAACTCGCCTTAAAATGCTGCCTGTGACAAAAAAATGTCTCCCATTTGCTTTGTTCCTGTGCAGTTCCACCCACCATTATCAAAGGTGATGGGTCAGGGATGGGTCTCTCCTCCAAAGAAGTGAAGATCAAAATAAACTACAGCCTGACACTGGAGTGTGAAGCTCATGCAGTTCCTGCTGCTGCCATCAGCTGGTACAAGGATGGACAGGCTAGTCACTGACTTAATTGCTTTTAATGGGCTGGTTTCCTACTGGAACGACTGCATGTTCACTGTCACCAGTAAGGAACATTTATGTACCGTGACAGGCACATTCACACTGCTAAGTCACTAGGAATCATCTTTGCACAGTCTTGCTGGCAGAATCTCCCTTCGTGTTGTGTCTTAGAAACTTGCTGCTGGCCAGAGCCCTGCAAACTGACACCCTTGGGTGTTTCTGTGGGTGCTTGGCAGTACAACTGAGACATGAGTGTATGAGTGCATCCAGCACTGGCCTGGCCCTTGCAGTGGGAGGGCCCTGCCTAGAAGTAGCATCCCCAGGGCATTGCCACATGTTGCTTTGCCTTGGGTAGATTCCCCACAGGCCCTGCTGCAGAACGGCCCCACGCTCCGTTCCTCTGCTGCCCTCACAAGCTGCCAAGAGCTTCCCACACGGTGCTGGCAGAGCTCACAAAGCCACAGAGGCATCTGGGTCCTCTGCAAGGAGGAATTCAAAGTGATTCCAGCCACACGCAGTCTTTGCAAGAGTATCAGGCTGAAGGGTAAGCGATTGGCAAATGTGATGCCACAGAATCCAGCTACCAAGATCAGAAAGATCAAGAACTACTATTTTTGACAAAGACAGAAAGAGCATTGTATCCAGGAAAATGAGGGTTTGATCAGAGTTACTTAGGTGTTTTGAAGCAGGAGAGATGTGACCTCATCTGAATCCCACAAACACGTCTCATCCTAGCATAGGTTTTGTGTGGTATTAACGTATGTGTGAAATTGCCTTTCAGCCTCTTACACCAGATGATCATGTTATCATCCAAGTCAGCGGCCGTACTCTGCAGATTAAGGAGGCTCAGGTAGCAGACACTGGTCGTTACACTTGTGTGGCATCCAACGTTGCTGGAGAGGATGAAATGGAGTTTGATGTAAATATACAAGGTGAACAGCATTCATTTTGCAAAGTTCTTATTTTCTGGTAATCTCATATGCTGAGGTGTTGCAATTGTTGATAATTTTGTATCATTTAGACCAAGTATGTTTGATCCAATCCAGTATTTTTGAGTCTTGTGAGATAAAATATTCAGTGTGACTTTTATGCCATGTATGTTCATGAAAGACAGTGTCTGACTCCTCTTTCATTCACATGTGATATTTGCAGTGTTTTTGAAGTTCTCATCATCATTCTCTCAATTTTATTTTTTTAAGAGTTTTGAGGTAGCTTAAAGCTAAAACTTGATCACAACCAGGCAGTGTAGTGTTTAAATAATTAATGTTGAGCAATGCCCTCGGTGGTTTACTAGCAGATCATCTCACATTGGTATTTATTAATTTCCAGAAAACATTCAGCAGATTGATCTGTTGTTCATTTTGATGAAAGGAGATAGAATTAGCTTGGCTCAGTTGTATTTGGGGGATAATTTCATATATGTAGCTTCCTATTAAGGCTATTTAATGATCACAATATCTTTTTCTTTCTTAAAAATTGGTAATTTCCATTCTAATGATCTTTTTCCCCCCGGTCACAGTTCCTCCTAGTTTCCGAACGCATTACAGAGAGTGGGAAGCTGGAAACATGGTGGACACGGGAAGAGGAGAGAACAAAGACGTGATTGTCAACAATCCCCTCTCCCTGTACTGTGAGCCCAATGCAGTTCCTCCCCCAGTGCTCACCTGGTATAAAGATGGGTCCCCACTAAGCTCTAGTGAGAAAGTCCTGATATTACCTGGTGAGTATTGAAATATTCAATATTTGTATTTCAGTATTGAAATATGTCATTTCATAAAAAATGTTTAGTCATTTATACTCCAGAACAAATGCTGACCGTTCATAACTTAGCTTGCTCAGATCTCCAATGAAACGCGGTGTGGAAGGGATGGAAACTGCTTGGTTTAAATCTTGCCTTCTCCTTCCAGGAGGCCGAGTGCTACAGATTGCCCGGGCGCAGGCTGAAGATGCTGGGAGATACATGTGCGTGGCTGTGAATGAGGCTGGAGAAGCTTCCATTCAGTACGACGTCCGCGTGCTCTGTGAGCCTTCCTGCTTTCCTTTCTCTTTCTAAAAGAAAAAAAACAAAAAAGTTTTGTAGGAATTAAGAAGACATTATATCCTAGATTTATTTAGCTGCTGAAATTCTCTATATTGGTAAATTATGAAATGAATGTGTTTGCATAGGATGCTGAAGTTTTGAATAAATTCACAGAATTACATGAGGATGGCATTAATGCTGACGTTATATTTATATGCTATGTTATATGTTCTGTTAATTAATTATTTTTATATGGACTGAATGGCATTACCCCATCACACTTCTCCATAAAGAAAGGCATATATTTTGTCTTCTCAGTATCATTTGTTCCCAATCCAGCCTCCAGTTTGTGTGGTTTTGCTGTTTTGTCATCTTAAGAATTGCCCCTGAGCCGTGCTGCACTGTGACGTTTTGCTCCTTTGCAGTACCACCATCCATCGCTGGCGCTGCCGGGGACCTGCCTGAAGAAGTGACTGTGCTTGTGAGCAACCCGGCGGTGCTGGACTGCTTGGCTAGTGGTAGCCCTGCCCCGAGTATTGCCTGGCAGAAGGATGGCCACCTGCTAGCAGAAGATGACAAGCACACCTTTCTGTCCAGTGGAAGAAGATTACAGGTAGCACCAAATGAATAACTGATTTTGGGTGTCATAAGCACACAGACTACACATAAAGACAAATCTGTTTAGATTTGCTGAGTATGCAATGCTGTATTTCTTTTTTATTCATCTTGGAGGTGCCGCCAGCCTAAGGAGCATTTGTCCCTTATCCCTGCCCCTCAGCGAATATCCCCACTCCTGTGCCATTCCCCCAGCTTAAATGTTTGCAGGGTTGTTCTGTCAGCTCCATCAGGGAAATCAGTTGGTTAAAAATAATTTTGCAAGCAGAAGTATTATTATTCAGAACAACCAATGCTGTCAGTTTTGTTTGAGCTTCCTTAATGGTATTTAATTTTTGCAAAATTCACTTTCTTTAGAAAGTAATCTGTTCTGAAGAAGAAAACCCTACTTACTCCAATCGCTGCATGAAATTGGATGCATATTATCTGCATCAGATATTAAAGCAGAGAGCTGAGCTGATTTCCATCTGTTCTTGCACCATGAATTAGGAATGCAATACTGTGCAAAAAAGCATATGGAATGCTAAGATTTGTATTTCAAATATTTTGGAACTAATTCTTTTGTTATTAATTTTGAATTAGCTTAATATGACAGATATTTCATTGGCTTTTCTGGAGGCCTGGAATGTGTAAGTTTTGGAAGGAATAGCGTCAGTAGAAGTTTCTCAGGTTGATTTCTTCATAATGCAATTTATCCTACAGTAGGGCAGAAAAGTCCCAATGAAACAAAAAAAAAATCTGAAAGTCCCCAAAATTGCTGCTTTAATTGTAAGCAGTCTTGTATTTCAACTCTACTAAAGTTTTGGGTTTTTTTCTTAGATTTTGAATTCCCAAATAACAGACACTGGCAGATACATCTGTATTGTGGAAAATGTGGCTGGAAGTGCCAAAAAATACTTTAACCTGAATGTTCATGGTAAGTGTATTAATCCCTACTTTGCTGATTGTTTACTTTCAAATATTAGTTTAGTTTAATTCTATTTATTTTAGTGTAGTGCTTGGCAGCTTTATTAGCTTGGTGTGTCTAAGTCACACCAAGGTGGGTGTAATGGAGCTTCTGACATAGCAGAAAACAGAGATCAAATGTAAATTTAAAGTGTCTTGGTACCCCACCCTTAGTGGGACTTTTGATACCCCATGACCTAGCTGCACAACTACCTGTGTAGCTGCACGTGAACACTGAGGGAGCCTTGTGTGTTGGCTGCATGCCCCGCTTAGGCTTCCCTTAGCTCTGAAATCAATACTTACACTCACACTTGCAATCAGGTTGCATAATGGGCTGCTTGAATAGTACTTACGAAAAGTGGTTTCCAGGAAAATTAATGTTGGAAAGCTTTAAACAAGTAGATAAGGGTATTTGTTTTAATATTGCTGTATGCTTTTATAAATATATATAAAATATGAAAAGATACATTCTTTATAAAGTTGAAATATATATTTCTTATCTACAGATAAATAACAAACTAAAATAAAAACATATAATACATGGAAAGTAAGCATTCAATTTTAAAATCTCAATCTGTAACCTTAATATACAGTATGGATAAATAGGAAGCTTTCATACTGAATGCTAACTTTGAACCTGTTAATGTATCTATACTTTCGTACAAATATGAAATATGTATGTAAATTATATCTATAAAATGTGTCACATTTGTGTTTTGCTCATGCAGTAAAAGGCTGCATCATTTAAATATATACCGTATAAATAGTTTAAGAAAAATTCATTAAAAAACACCTCAGATTTTTATGTATTTAATCTCCTACTGTCTTGCACTGCCAATAATCACATCTGTGGGAAAGCAACTAAAAGTAAATAAATGCAAATAGTGAAAAAATGTCATCACATCAAAATCTCCCATTTATTCTCGTGAACTGTTTCACGCTCATTTGTGTCAGGGGAAATAGCCCTTTCCTATTCCAAGTTAAAAAACATGGGCAAAATCACCTGGTGACATTGACTCTTAGTTTCTGCGGTGCCACAGAGGAGCCATAAACTTGGCTTAATGACTGCTCTGTGTCATTCAAGTGACAGGAAGCAGCTGGGGTATTTTGGGTGGATTTGATCCAGAATATTTTAACATTTCATTCTTTGAGGAAGAGGATTCCGTGTTCTTTGGAAAGCTTTTTCCACCCAGTGGAGCCAAGAACATGCCTCTACTTTCCTCTGAAGTGTTTTATACATCCATACTGTAAAAACATGGAAACTAAGACTTGGGATTTATTAAAAGGGAGAAATTTATAGTTATTTTGTTTTAAATAGTAATTGTGGGAAGGTCAAATGTTAAAATATTCTTGTATTTAGAAATACTATGACTTGTAAGCCTAGAAATGCAGCTTTAGAGCGATGCACTCGTGCCAGACTTCTGAACTGCTTAACTCAATACTGCACAGCAGGTTTGTCTGGGTAACAGACAGACTGTGAACTACAGCAGAAGGAATCATTTGTGGTTCTCTAGCATGAAAAAAAAAAAGAAAAAAAAAGATTATTGAAGAAAGAACAGGAACAGTTCAGAGTATCAACAAGAAATGATAAATCTCCCATATATTTTGACAAGGTAAATTTAGTTGCCCTAGCCAAAGTTCTTGAGAGTACAGTGTTTTATAATTAATAAGTCATTAGTCAGGAATTGCAGCACCTGTGATAGCTTAGTCAGCCTTCCCAAATGCTAAGCAGGAGAAGGATTGCACATGAAATTTTTGTGACTTGTAGGAAAAGGGATGACAGCTGAAGTAGCTTTGGTCACACTCCCAGATACAGCCAGAAAGCAGAGATCAGTTCATAGGATGTGAAAGATGTTTTCAACTCAATCCTTTGGCGTATCTCAGCAATTTAACCTTATTTTAATAAATCAGAATCTTGTGGAGTATTTGTTGCTGACACCGTGATGGATACTATTCATGTATTTCTTCCTGCAGTTCCTCCAAGTGTTGTTGGTGCCAATCCTGAAAATGTGACTGTGGTGCTGAATAACTTCATCTCTCTGACATGCGAGGTCACTGGCTTTCCACCTCCTGATCTCAGCTGGCTCAAGAATGGGAAACCTGTCAGCTCAAATACCAACATTTTCATTGTGCCTGGTGAGGAGTCTGCTGCTTTGGCAGCCCGTGGACTTAATCTCTCTGTTTTGCATTGAGGAAGGTGGCAGACCTTTACTAAGCCACTATATTCTCACTGTCGCTCCAGTGAGTAGACTTACATCAGTAAGACACTTGCCTACTCTTGGCCTACTCTATTTGTAAAACATCCAATATTTTGGCCGTTGTGTGAGTTCACTTTAAAAGGAAACTAGCTCAGACAGAACAAGAATGAAATTAACTTTTTGTACTTAAACTTTGTGGGAAAGCTGAGAGAGCAAGTCACATAACTGAGGTGCCCTAGTATAGGTGTTGATAAAAGCTGTGTCACTTTGGCTCACCCCTCAAAGGAACGATCGAAAATTGAGGGGGGAATTAAGATAAATTCTGGTGCTTTAGGTGGCAAGAAATACAGCCATACCATTGACTTTACTGAGGAATTAGATTAATCCATAGCAGACTTTTGATCTCTCGGGTAGAAACCCTTGTATTCTGAAGTCTTTCTACCCATGCACGGTCTGCTCAGGCCCAGGAGTGCCTGCGTCGTCATTCCCACTCCTCATGATCTTCAGCCCCATTTTTTTTTTTTGAATATAAGATTAATATAGTGCCTACCTTCAGTCTGTTGGAACTGCCATTTCATAATAACATTTGAGATTGGTATAATAAGCAGGAATAAATCTGAAGTCTTCTCTCTTTGCTTTAGGTGCTCGGACTCTGCAGATTCCCCGAGCCAAACTATCAGATGACGGGGAATATACTTGTATTGCCAGAAACCAAGCTGGGGAAAGTCAGAAGAAGAGTTTCCTAACTGTCCTTGGTTTGTTTGTTTGTTTTTTACTCTTTTCTGAAATAATATCTACTGCTGTGAAAATGCAGTATTTTATATTTTTCCTTAGGTTATTTTTCCCCCTCTGACAAAACAAAGGCAGAAATAACTCTCAGCTTATTCTTCAGTCCCCCCAAGCATCAAAGACCATAGTGGGACGTCGCTGGCAGTGGTGAATGTGAGAGTGGGCACCCCGGTGATATTAGAGTGTGAATCCAATGCTATCCCACCACCAGTCATCACATGGTACAAGAACAGGCGCATAATTTCAGAGTCTGCAAATGTGGAGATCTTAGCAGATGGGCAAACGTTGCAAATCAAAAGCGCTGAGGTAGGCAGGACTCGTGAGATGCTGCATCTGCACCTACTGCACTGCCGTTAAGTGATAGTTCTGCTCTTGTTGCTGTGTTCCACTAGGTGTCAGTAGGCAACGTGTTTGCAGGAGGCCTTTCGTTCTGCGAAAAGGGCTTAGAGTTAAATTCTGGTTAAATTCTAGCATTGAATTGCAAGAGCATGTAGCATTAAAATTAAATCAACATCAGAATTTCTTTTCTTTTATTTCTAGGTTTATGACACTGGCCAATACGTGTGCAAAGCCATAAATATTGCAGGGCGCGACGATAAAAATTTCCATCTTAATGTTTACGGTGAGCATATGTTAACTACAATAGCTACTATTATACAGCAGACTTTATATGGTGAATAGTTCCAAATAAGCTCCCCAAAGAGTTTGGTAACCCAACTCTTCATATTGCTTCCATTCAATTTGCAGTGCCACCAAATATAGAAGGCCCTGAGCAAGAATGGATCAATGAAACTATCAGTAATCCTGTTACCTTCGCATGTGATGCTACTGGAATTCCTCCACCAACATTAATGTGGCTTAAGAATGGAAAAGCAATAGGTAATGTTCTGTTACGGTCTTTTGCTGCTCTTTTCTCCCCCTTTGGAGAGCTGTGCTGTTCTTAGTCTGTTCTTTGTTTCTTCTTCATCTGTCTCTAAATGGACTCTTACTGACTGTTAAAAACCTTTTGTTTTGTTTTGAAATGATAATGAAAGCTTTTTACAGATCTGTGTTTGCTCTCTTTGGCCTAGTTTGAAGAGATGTCTTCTTGCATGTTTTCAGAGAACTCCGACTCTCTTGAAGTGCACATTCTATCAGGTGGCAGCAAGCTTCAGATTGCTCGCTCCCAGCTCCCAGACAGTGGGACTTACACGTGCGTCGCCTCCAATGTAGAAGGAAGAGCTCAGAAAAGTTACATCCTCTCCATTCAAGGTACGGTATGTGGGTGCAGTGAGCAGGGGTTTGTATGGAGAAACTTGAGTGAACGTCAGTACTCTTCACCAGTGTTAGTGTAATGTCTCTTGCTCATGAATCTTGTCTCTCCTCCATTCCACATTCCCAGTTCCTCCTAATATTGCTGGTTCTGAAATGCCCAGCGAGGTCAGCGTGCTGCAGGGAGAAAGCATCCAGCTTGTGTGCAGTGCTGAGGGAGTGCCCGTGCCTGTCGTGCAGTGGCTGAAAGATGGACAAGCAGTTGCCAGGGAGGAATCACAGAGAACAAGGCAAGCAAAGATGCAGCAGACTTTGCATTCTGTCCCTGTGTAATTTAAAGCCTAAAGAGGGGAGTTAAAACACTGGGCCTGAGTAGTCTTAGCTTAACTGAATTAAGACATCTTCTCTCCCTTCAGCTTTTATGATTCTAGCATGTTTTGTCACGACTTTGATTCCTGTGCTATCCAGATATTGTTTATAATGTGTGGAATGGCCTGCTTACAAAGAGGAGGTCTATAAGGTATAAAATGTTAGCGAAAGCTCTTGCTAAGCTTCCCTGCAGCCTGGCAGAGAGGGCTTGAAGTGCCAGGCCCTCGTTGCCCACCACTGTGCCCAGACCCCATCACGCGGGTTTCCCTGCCTTCTTCCCTCCCAAGAGGATGAGGCAGGGCTGTGCACTGACTTTACTCCAAACACTGCTTTTTGGGTTTGATCCAGAAGATTTGAGCGTCTGAGGGAAAAGCTAAAAATGCTCTTGGTCTAGTGTAGGGGTTAATGCAATATCTAGTGCACATGTAGGAAAGGCTTTTTAGCCTATCTCTAGTCATAATACTTTGCAGAGAGGAGTGGGGTTTTAGCCAAATTTCCCAAAGGATAGAGGTGATTGATTTAAACGTACAAAACTGGCTGTTTATTTGCCAGGTCAGAGGAACATGTAAACAAGCTCACTGTATTTTATGACCTCTCTTGCAGAGTAACTCCAGATGGCAGCACATTAAACATTTTCAGAGCTCTCCCTTCTGATACAGGAAAATACACTTGTGTGGCTACTAATCCTGCAGGAGAGGAAGACCGGATTTTTAACTTAAATGTCTATGGTGAGTTTCTGCAGGTGTGAATCTTGCCCTCAATCCTGTCTTTGTGAGTGCTCCCCAGGGAGGGCTAAGAAATGTATGCCTGTCTTTGGGGTGATATCACAGGCATGTGTTTCCAATTTCATCTGTTGTAGATATCACACTCTAGATATCATAAAATGATTGAAATAGAGATTTGGGGATAAAAAGAAATTAATTCCTTTAGGGTAGCTCAAAATAGCAGAATTCTACTTGGGACGGGTTTTTTTGTAGAGGAAAATACACTGGGGGGCAATTTCCCACAATACTATTCCTTTGTTCTATTAGATAATTCCTGTGAATTCTAGCCAAAGTACCAGCTGTGAACAAAGAGATGAGAAAGAAAGTCAGATTTCTATGATACCTTTGATTTTGCATATTAAAATAGATATTAATTAGTGCTCAACTTTATTGCTGGAGAACTTACAGTTTGCAAAATTGGGTAGCTGCTTCTTATTGCATTGCCTGTGGGGCACTAGTTGCTGGATTTTTGCCTTGCTTTCATTTGCTATCTTGTTTAATACCTCCCTCTTCAACATTTATGAAATACAGTTCCACCAACAATAGCTGATAATAAAGAAGAACCAGAGGACCTCACTGTCCTTGTGGACACCTCTGTAAATATTGAGTGTACTGCTGCTGGAACTCCAGCCCCACAGATAAACTGGCTGAAAAATGGGCTTCCTCTTTCAATCTCCTCCCAAATCAGGTTGCTCTCTGGTGGACAAATTCTCAGGTAGGTTTTCAGTTATTTTAACTAGAGGTGTTTTCTGCTTTCTTCTGTTACAGCTTAATTAAAATGTTTTCTTTTTGTTCAGAATTGTTCGAGTGCAGGTATCTGATGTTGGTGCATACACCTGTGTAGCATCCAACAGAGCTGGAGTGGACAACAAACATTACAGTCTTCAAGTTCTGGGTAAGTTGCTTGGAAATGCTGCATATAAAGAATAAAGTAATATTACTTGATTCATTTCTTAACCTAATCTACATTCTTTCTCATAAACATAATGTTGCAGGCTTTCACAAATGTATCTTAGGTAGATAATCTCTAGGAAAAAGTTCACTTTTCTAAAAATGTTTAATATGGAAAGTGTTTTAACCCTCAGAGTCCCACTTGAATAGGCAGCCAGACCACAGATATTTTAGGGTTGAAAAATAATGTATGATTTCCAGATGAATTTCAACACACCTATTAAAAATAAATTTAATGAGCTGAGGAAATGCAGAAGAGAATGTTTTATATGAAGTACTAACTTCTGGGTGGATTTGATATTAATGAGCTGTTTTTTTTTCTGCAGTGCCACCAAGTTTGGATAATGCAGGAGGAACAGAGGATGTGACTATAGTAAGAGGCAATTCGGCTTCAATGCAGTGTGTTACTGAAGGCATTCCCACCCCAACTATGTCCTGGTTTAAAGATGGACATCCTTTAAGCCTTGGAGATCACTTGACTTCAAAAAACCAAGGGATGGTCCTTCATTTTGTCAAAGCAGAGACCCATGATACAGGCAAATACACCTGTGAAGCCTCAAATGAAGCTGGGGATATCAGCAAGCACTTCTCACTAAAAGTGCTGGGTAAGTGTTAATCTTACAGTCAAACAAAGTGTGAGCAGGAAGTGTCTGCCCAGGACAGCAATTTTAAAATTTCTAGGAATAAGAAGTATGTTTTAAAAAGAGACTGTGTGATAAATAACACAAATAGGAAAGATGTGTGACTGTGTAATGTAATGTATAGATTTCCTTAAGATTTCGAAAGTATATAAATGAGGAAAAACAAGAGTATACTGTTTTACAGAGTAACTTGATTTAAACAGATAACTTTGGTAGAAATTCTTCTTGACAGATTGATGAGTCCATGAAGAACTTCGTTTTCTTTCTACAGAGCCACCTCATATCAATGGTTCTGATCAACCAGAAGAGCTCTCTGTTGTTGTCAACAACCCCCTTGAACTTCTTTGCATCTCCACCGGCATTCCGGTCCCCAAAATCTCATGGATGAAGGATGGGCGCCCGCTTCTGCAGAATGATAATGTGCATGTCCTAAGAGGAGAAGTGCTTCGAATAACCAGTGCTCAGGTAAGCCACTTATTTCAAAAAGGGCTCAGTGGAGCAACAACCCCAGGAGAGCTGACAGAACTGCCTCCTGTGATATGCTCTCTCCCCAAAAGGTTCCACTTGCATTTGCAGGTCGCAGAGGAAAAACATCTAGTTTGTTTTCATGTATGTGCAAATCAAGAGGAAAAAAAAAAAAAAGATTAAACAAAAAGCCTGTGAAGTTCACCAAACATAAGTGAGGCAGTGCTTGGGAAAGAGGATGAACAGTCTGATTGTTGCTGGCCTTGTTTGTAAGGAATTCCTTATATTTGCCATGAAGAGTCTACAGAAAACAGAGAGCATAGAGATGTTAATGAGTGTGCATAGACAAAAGATTTCCTTACTTCCTATAGCTGAACCATGTATAGACTGATACCCATTTTCAGTTCTGTATTCGGTGATAATCAATTGCACAAAGAGAAGGTTCTAGTTGGAGATAGGTTTTTCAAAGCCATTTTTGGGGATCCTGCAGCTTACAAGCCAGCTCTAAACAATTCTGCCCTGGGAAAATAGAAAAAGATTGAGATCGTTTTTTATTTTCAGACATACTTGATCCATTATCTTTGCTTTTAATTGCTGCCTGCTAAATCTTGCTGCCAAAGTTTGTATTTCTTTTGTTTTTCTGAATTGTTCCCATGTCCTGAAATTTCTTCTGAAGCTGCTTGGGTGTTTCTAGGTGGAAGACACAGGAAGATACACATGCCTGGCATCTAGCCCAGCAGGAGATGATGATAAGGAATATTTAGTAAGAGTGCATGGTAAGCCGAATTTAGGAAAAAATACTATTATTTGATACTACTTAGGTATGTATCGATTTTGTCCTTTAGCTAGTTAGATGCTATTGAATACAAATATGGAACATTGTGCTCTGAGAAAAGGATAGTTCACATTTTTGTGTATAGGCCAGTTGAAAGGGGAAGTTTCAAGTGTTTTCAACTTTTCTGGTTTAATTTCAAGTTTTATGGTTTGAATAACTAAGTTATAGATACAGTATAGGTATGTCATTTTTCAGTTGGTCTGAGTTGTTGGAAAAAAGAATCATATATATATTATATGTATATATAATATGGTTAACTGTTCAGAAGAAAAAGATAGGGATAGTATCTAAACATGAACACATGAAATGAAGTGAGAGAAAAGGAAATAGAAACAAGACTTCTGAAATTCTGCAATAAGCATCGGCATTTTTGCAAATTAGATTTACCAAGTTTCTTGATGAAGAGAGTAGGGAAGGTCTGCCATCCCTGCTGCATCCAGTTTAAATGTTGGAATCGTCACTAAGAATGGGCTTTGAATTAATTTCTCACAAAGGCGTTTCTAGTATGTGGCTTAAAAATCAGGTTGATCAGTTAAACAAAGGTGATATCCTTAATAGAAGCCTGGAAAAATAAAACTACTTACTAGGCACTGTAGCCTTGTGTGCATTTTACATCTTGAGAAATAGAATGGATTTTTCGAGAGAATGATTTTAATGGTAGCTCGTATGTGTAGCGTTAATTGTATTTCTTAATTTTTGCAACAGTTCCTCCTAACATTGCTGGCACCAGTGGCCCACAGGACCTCACTGTGTTGCAGAACAGACAAGTCACACTGGAATGCAAGTCAGATGCTGTGCCACCTCCGACGATCTCGTGGCTTAAAGATGGAGAACTCCTCGAGGTAAAGCAGCGACGTTGCTTGCACCAGTCTGTTGCTCCCTTTATTTTGTGCACACACTGCTCCAGGTTTCTTACTCAGCTCACTTGCCCCTTCAGTGCAGTCGAGTTATGGTTCCAGTAACAACACAGTCCTAAATGAGTGCCTGAAGTGGCCATCCCGCTGTTACTTGTTCTTTTTTCCTTTAGGGGGATCCCTTGCTCCTTCTGGATCCTCTGAACAATCCTAGAAGCCTTCGGTATACTCCTGAATGGCTTCCCAGGAAAGGTAGCTTCCTTGGGTATATTATGTATCCTCATATTCTAGTAGCATTTGGAAAGGAATTTAAATTTACGTTGAAAACAAATAAGTAGGTTGCTGACTACCTTTTTCACTGAGAACTCCAGGCAGACTCATGTCAGGCTGCGAATCCTTGCCAGCTGAGAGCTGATGAGCAAGGTGCAAATAGCTCAGCAGGAAATTTTGTTTATAGCACATCCTCTCCTTTAGGATCACTTATATTTTTCAGTCAGTAACCAGGTGCTTTCCAGCTGATCAACTGAAGTTGTTATCAATTGAACTCAACCAGTCAAGAATTTTTCCCCAGTTAGATCCAATTTGTAAAGGAAGAGGAAACCGGTCTGGCTTAGGAATTGCCTCTCCCAAAATAGTCGTGGATCCAGTAATCTGCATCCAAAATGGAACTGTGATTTGTTTATGGTGAATGCAGAAATTTGTTTTGCACAAATATCTCAAATACTTCCCTGGAAGATACTTCTGTAGTCAGACTGTTTTTGTTTAGGGAATTTGAACTTGTTAGTCATACTAATACTGTTAGTAAAGCTCAAAGAGTGGTCGTATGAGAAATGTGCACTGTCTTGCCACTGGTTCCAGTTTCACTTCTCCTTAGTGCTTATTAATAAGTAAATAACAGCTGCTTAGGGAACTTCCAGTGTTTCACTGCCCAGTCTTTCTCACAAGGTCCTGCTTTTTGCTTTAGCTGCAGCATTCCTCTCTTAGACACTGTCTTTGTTTAAAGATTAGGAGCATGAAGTATTAGTGGAAAAAGCAAGACTGCTGAGAGAGATTGCCTAAATGAGTGCTGCTAGGGAGTGTCACCTTGAATGAAGCAGAAAAGGTGGCTAGACAGCACCCTAAGAGACACGCTCCTTGCCTGAGTGCTCCTCATTCACGGTGTGTGACTGGAATACTCCTATCACTTCTATTTTTAGGTCTTTAATTGGATAATGATTCTTTATAAAAGCTTCAGTGAGGTTTGGAAGTTAGGTTTGTGAATATTTTTGGACTAAGTCTTTCTTGAAACCCTTGCATTTTAACTAGTGCTTGATTTTTTTTTTACTTTTTCTAACACTGAAGCAAAACATGAAAAGAAGAAACCACTTCTCAGGATTTATTTGTCAGAAAGGAAATAAACAAGAGAAAATACAAGGATACAGGAATTTATCTCTGTGTTTGAGACACGTTAGTTGAGCAGTATGGTAAATCCTCCTGTCTTTGTATCTGTGGCAAAGTATTGTCTGTCTAGTTTATTTTCTAGATTTAGCGTTCCTCTAACATGAAACTGGAGATATGAATTTCACACGAGCCTCTTAAATTTGTCATGTGATCTTTTAAGTAGCAGAAGTAGGTTTATTTTTCCCTACCATCATTTCTGTTCTGCAGCGTAGCTTATATAAATACATCCTACCGATGTCAGGAAAACATGAGTGCCTGCTGAATGTGTGCTTGCTTTCTAAACCTCAAAGAGATGTATTGACTTACTGGTATTAAGCAGTTGGAGAAGAGCTGTCCTTGGGCAAGGAAAAAGACCCTCTGTGCCATATGCTTCTCCTTATCTTGGAAAAATTGAGGTCTCACAGTGATACGAGAGGACTGGAGGAAGTCACACTTTCAGATTGCAACCTTATTTCAGTTTGAAACATCACTGGTGTTTGAATCAGTATCATAGCAGAGAGCACCTTTCCCTTCTGGCTTTGTCGTCTTTGCTGTCACTGTGCACACTTCAAGGTTTACTCAAGCTCTCTATATGCTTCATGATGTGACTGTGCAGCAGCACCAATGTATATCTGGTAGCAGAAAATAGTAGGAAGACCCGTAGCAGCTTTTTCAGGCACAGTTCTTGCACTTTGCATTGAATTGGACATGTCACCGTGGGGCTCCGACACTGCTACCAGTTCTGCATCTTAGGCTGGCTCAGTGAGGTGCAAGTACAGAAAAGGGCAGAGATGGAGGAGCTCCAGGTATCTCTTTTAGTTGTCATCCTCACGTCCACCAGCCAAAAGACTAGATAAGAATTTCAGATCTCAATTTCGTTCAAAATATGGCTGACATGAAACAAAAAAGCAATAATTTTTCTAAAACTCTAATGAACTTTTCAGGGATAAGTAATTAAGCATCAGTCACCCAGTTACCTTCACCACTGTGTAAAAAAAGTTACGCAATGAATTCAGCCCCTTCTCTCTCTGCTCTTCGGTTATGAGTCTCGTTACACCGCAACGGAAGAGGGCTCTGGCCTTCTGAGCAGAGGGCAAGGCTGAAGCTGAGTCTGTGCAACTCTGTCTCCACAGGGGACTCCTCGAGTTCGGATCCTGTCCAACGGGCGATACCTGCAGATCAATAATGCTGCCCTCAGTGACACCGCGAGCTACACCTGCGTGGCCAGCAATGTTGCAGGAGAGATGACCAGGGAGTTCGTGCTGACAGTGCACGGTAAAGTCATGGATCTGTTCTGCAATGTTTTGATCTTTGCATGGTTTTTCCACTGGAGTCCGTATCGCAAGAAAGGTCTGGTCTCTTTGGAGCAAGCACAGGTCACTTAGGCTGTGTTTAACCTGTGGGTCCAGGTGTATTTCCACACATGTGCCACCATGTAGACAAATTCTTTGAGCATTTGACTGGCATCTTGGGAGATTTGGGTTTGTCCCTGTCTTGGCTACCAGTTTTGCAAGTTACTTGAAAACTGTGGCTTGGTCTCTGCACTGGGAGTGGGAAGGACCTGAGGGAGCTTATGTGGCTTGATAGGTATACTGTACTATCCTAGGTATTTTGCTACTTTTAAAAGTTTTTTAAACTTATTTATTTTCTCATTTCTGATGAGAAGCTGTTCTATTATGACATTATGGTGATGATGAGAAATTTTCTTCCTGTTTCTATGCTTCTCACAACCCAGGCATATGTACTTGCTGCTTCTTTCTTCCCCAGCACTGTCCTTGCCCTTTAAAATTTCTTTTTCCTCCTAATTTAATTGGACAACAAGACTATCAAATCCAGTCTTTGCTTTGCTGAACCAAACCTGCCTTTTCTACTTTTCTACTGTTTTAGCTGGATGATAAGCTTTGCAGTAGCTTGCAAAGGTCATCCAATCTTTCTAGCCATCTCAGACCGATTTTGTTTTTCCTTCCCTCCTGCATCATGGCCACTACCACATGCTACACAAAATGGTAAGAAACTTGTTTGTGTGATGCCACTATTGTTGCACTCATCCTCTGCCTGTCCTTGTGACCGCTTCTGTGTGAGCAGTTTCAGTCAGTGCAGCATGAAGTTTTGTGAGGTAACATCAGGGATTTTGCCTTTGCAGTTGCTCCTACCATCCGAAGCAGTCCCCAGACAGCTGTTGTGCGTGTAAATGCTTCTGCTCTTCTGGAGTGTGCTGCAGAAGGAGTACCAGCCCCGAGAATTACGTGGAGGAAGGATGGAGCTCTTTTTTCTGCAAACAATACCAGGTATTGTCTAATAGTCGTAATAAGTCATCTTTTTTTTTTTTTTTCTTTTTTAAAAATTGCAATTTTTTGGTACATCTTAGATGTTTGATGAAACATCTTGGGTTCCCCGATTAGTTCTGTGGCTGAAACTAAAGAAATTATTCTGCAGAAAAATAGCAGCGCCAAAGGTTTCTCCCTTTTATTATTAAGAAACAAACAGACAAACAAAAACTCCTTTGGCAGCTTAAAGGTAATGATTTCTCTTGTGATACTTAAGATTTTCAACAGTAAAAGATTGCAGAGTGAAGGATCTTTACATTTTTCTGAAATGCCTGGAGCTTGGAGGTGAAAGCAAGCAATTTCATGCAGATGCAAAGCTCCCTGAGTTTACTTGTGATAAAAGCAAAAAGAGTCACAATAAATCTAATACAATCAAATAGCAAAACTGTATATGGCCAAATTAAGATGCTGCATGTTTAGCTTGTTTCTAGTGTGCTCTGTTTCTTCCTGCTATGACGGTCAGCTGTGATTTTCTCTGTATTGGGAAGGAGTCAAAAATCCATGGCTTTGTTTCAGATTCTCAGTGTTAGAGGATGGATCCCTGCACATCCACTCAGCACGTGTGACTGACACAGGACGATACATGTGTATGGCGACCAATGCAGCTGGCACTGAACGCAAGCGAGTTGATCTGCAGGTCCTCGGTAAATACTCTGCTGTTAGATAATTTCCTGTGCTCAATAAGTCTGAAGTATGCATCACCTATATAATTTTTCCCATTTGGACAGTATCATGCAAGCTGATCTTATTTAATAAGGAGCCAGGACCACAGAAAGGAGTGCTATCAAGTTGACATAGCTCTGCAGACTAACCAGCATTTTAGGTTTCCTACCAGGATCACCCCTTATGGAGCAGACAGTCTGTTAAATTTAGTTTCTTGCTTAAATTTGAGCAGATTCCAGTTAGTCACATTGGTGAAATTGGTCTGTGTTAGCTCCTTGTTATCTCATGTGTGAGAGACAACTGGAAATAGAAAGCATTGGCACACTTCTTGCTCCATGTTTAGTACTCTTTAGTTAATCCTTATTCATAAAAGTCAAGTGAATGTTTTCAAGTAGTTAAAAATGTGTTTATAAAAATGGGGGATTCTGTATTTAGGTATAAGGTGTTTATGTCTCTGTGTTTATGGTCATTCTGAATAACTCGACTTTGCCTTCTAGTTCCTCCAACTATTGCTCCAGGACCTAGCAATATTACAGTAACTGTAAATGTGCAGACCACTTTGCCTTGTGAAACCTCTGGAATTCCCAGACCAGCAGTTAGCTGGACAAAGAATGGGCATTTGCTTCATGTTGACCAAAACCAGAATATGTACAGGTGAGAAATGTGCTTTTTTTTTATCATGGTTGTACAGTTTTCAGGGATTCATTTTGGCACTTAAAAATCTAGCTGGTTTTTCTAGCTGAATCTATGTGATCTAATTTGTATGGTGGCAAATTCAGTGCTTGGGTGATCTGAGGAGAAGTGTTTCAATGGCTCTTCTTTCTGCTGTTTTCTCCTTTCAGACTTCTGTCTTCAGGTTCCCTAGTAATCATTTCTCCCACCGTGGATGACACTGCTGTCTACGAGTGCTCTGTATCAAATGACGCAGGAGGAGAGCAAAGAACAGTGGAGCTCACTGTTCAAGGTACAGGGGATATTGCTATTACACATGGATAGCCCAGAATTTCCTTGGGATATTTCAGTTTTAAGTTTTCTGTTTTAATGGCTCTTTAATGATCTCCATACCCTTCAGTCTGTTCTTCACAAGTCAATAGTAAGTTAGTTGTAAGAATTTGTAAAATGAAAATTGTCCACTGACGCTAATTGAGATCTTCTTTTCTTAGTGCCCCCATCCATAGCAGATGAAGCCACAGATCTTTTGGTAACAAAACTGTCTCCAGCAATAATTTCCTGCACGGCTTCAGGGGTTCCTGCTCCCTCAGTTCACTGGACCAAAAATGGCATTAAGTTGCTGCCCAGAGAAGATGGCTACAGAATTCTGTCTTCAGGTACTGTGCATGGTTGGAGCTTAGCCACAGAAAATGAGTGAAAAGGAGGTCACTGTGCATCTCTAGAATGAAAAAATAAATAAAAACAATCCCCCAAACAACCAGCTCTCCCTTTTTTTTTGAAAAAGTATGTAAACCTTTTAAGATACATGTTGTAGGGGAGTTTTTCTTTGAAAGTAAGACACTGCTAAATGTGATGGCAATCTCTGTCTTTCTGTGCTTAGGTGCTGTGGAAATCCCTGCGGCTCGGTTGGAGCACGCGGGTCGGTACACCTGCCTAGCCCACAATGCAGCCGGCTCGGCCCACAGACACGTTACGCTGCACGTTCAGGGTAAGGGGGGAAGCCAGACAGAAAATACAGCCTGTTGGAGGGCCTTACCCATTTAATACATGCCCACGCTACAGAGTAGTTTTGAGGCTAGGCTGGACCGTCACAACTAGCAGCTTACTCCAGTGAATTGCCTTGTGTATGCACTGATTACTCTGCAGGTCGATCACTGCCTTATATCTTACAACTCGGATACCTTGGATAGAGCTATCCAGAAAACACTGTTCTATTTTTTTTTTTGTAGTTGTTGTTTGTTGTTGTCGTTCTTAAGGCTTTTTTTTTGCTTTCTTTTTAAGTTAAAATGTATCTGTGATGGCAAACTGCATGAAATACGGACAGCCATATTTTGTACCCAGACTCACAGTAAACATACTGGTTGTATGTGTTACATGTCAGAATAATCCCACTAAACATTAAGAGAGCAGAATTCAGCTCCTACTAGTTCAACCTTCTCAGACTCTCAGATTATGCAATTTTAGTGTCTTCTCTTTTATTTTCCAGCTATGAAAGATATTCTAACCTGGCTGCATTTTGATTTTGTTTGCAGAACCACCAGCTATTCAAGCTCAGCCAGGGACACTGGATGTTATTGTGAACAATCCCATTCTTCTCCCTTGTGAAGCAACTGGTACACCTCGACCCGCAATAACATGGCAAAAGGAGGGCATCAATGTCATTACCACAGGTATCCTTATAAAGCCTGTAATTCCAGTCTACTTCGTTGTATCACAAAAACTTTTCCCTGCATATTAAAATCAAATATAAGGAACCCATGTGTGTATACCTGCCCACATATCTGCATATATGTATAATTACATCTTTGTATTTATATATATCAAATTTTCTACTCTTCTTATTCTTGTTTTAGGCAATAGCTACATGGTTCTTCCCAATGGCAGTTTACAGATTGCAAGATCAACTGTGGAAGACTCTGGCACTTACATGTGCGTTGCTCAAAACCCAGCTGGCACAGCGCTGGGGAAGATCAAACTGAAAGTGCAAGGTGAGTCCTGAACTCTTAACCTCTTGTTGAAGTGATGTTTTGTAATGACTGACACATAAGGAACTTATATACACCTTCTGTTGGTCAAAACTGCGTTTTGACCTGCACAAATGGAGCTATCATTTCCTAAGTTCGCGTCACACTGAACAGAGTCACTGTTGTTGTCTGTCTGCTTTAAGAAGGGAGGTTGCTTTTGGATTATTTTCACTAAGAACAGAAGTGTTACCTACTTCTTACATAATTCTTTTCTAAATTTTGTTAATTCTCCTTCAGTTCCTCCTGTTATCAAGTCTCAACTCCAGGAGTACGTTGTTCCTGTGGATCATTCTGTCACTTTGCCCTGTGAGGCTGAAGGCTACCCCGGGCCAGACATCAGCTGGCATAAAGACGGCCAGCAAGTAACGGAGTCCATCAGGAGGAGAATCCTCAGCACCGGCGCCCTGCAGGTCGCGTTCGTGCAGCCGGGCGACACGGGCCGCTACACGTGCGTAGCGGCCAACGCGGCGGGCTCGAGCAGCTCGAGCACAGAGCTCGTCGTGCACAGTAAGTGCAGCTGCCAAGAAGCCACTTGGGCATTGGGCCCTGAGCAGGGCAGGGAACTCCAGCAGCTGGGATTTAAGGGAGAAATTCAGGAAAATACTGCTGCTTAGTGTGTGATACTGAAAAAGGGGGTTAGGAGCGTGTGATTCGTAATAGCAGCCAGTTGCTTGGATCTAGGAATGTCATTATGTTTTGGGCGTTTTTTTTTTAAATTCAGTTTCCACTTTATTGCGTGTATTCCACACCTTTCCTTGACAGTCACTGCTAGATTCAGGAAACAACAAAGCAGAAGATTCAAGCAATGGTTTCTTTATTTCAGTGTTTTTCCATTAGTGCTTGGCTGACAAATGGAGCTAATACATATTGTGTGTATATATATTTTTTTAACTTTCTCACAGTTCCACCCAGGATCCGCAGTACAGAGGTGGAATACACAGTCACGGAGGATTCCCAGGCTGTCCTGTCTTGTGTGGCTGATGGGATTCCAGCACCAACAATAAACTGGACGAAGGACCATACACTGTTAACAGACACAGTAGGAAAATACAGGGCTCTGCCAGGTGGAGATCTCATTTTGGACAATGTTGTTGTAAGTTGCCTTTATTTCAACCATGGTTTGGAAGTAATAAGAAAAAACTGACGTCTCTATGTTTTCACCAATTTCTGGGTTAGTCTTTTTTGCTCTATATACATGTTTGTACTTGTATCGTTTTCCACCAAGGAGGAAAATATCTGAGGAAAAGCTGATATTTTGTCCAGAAAGGCAAACACAAGTGTAGATCACCTTTCAAACTGAGGGGAATCAACAGAGTTCAGCTGAGCATTTCTACAGAGTGCTGGTTTCAAACCTTGGGAGATTCTCATGTGCTTACGAGTGGTGATGTGGGATAAGAATATTTCACTGTTGAAACTTCCCCCACTTGTTTTTCTCTCAGCCTGAAGATTCTGGCCATTATACCTGCATTGCTAGCAACACTGCTGGGGAAGACACACACACTGTCACCCTGATGGTTCATGTGCTCCCTGCATTTACTGAACTGCCTGGAGATATAGCTCTGACTAAAGGAGAACAGCTCAGATTAACTTGCAAAGCAACTGGGATACCTGTTCCCAAAATAACATGGACTTTTAACAATAACATCATTCCAGGTGGGTAACGGAGGATCTTATCAGTCATTCTGCTGGAGACTTTTCCCCACATAACACTCTATTAGTTTGAGGGTAAAGGAAAAGTAATCTGAGAGATCATGAACTTATTAGGCAATGATTATGTCAGGAAAAAATATATTTTCAGAATTCAGAATTTTCAGAATTAGACCATCATGAAATAAAATAACATATAACTGTAAAGAAGATAATTAAGAAACTCTTTGTCCTCTCTAGCTGTAGAACACAGGTGTTCAAAGCTTGAAGTTAAGGGTCAGAATAAGTGGATACATGTGTGTAGACCATGGAAGGCTGCAATTATCCTAGAGGTGGTCAAAGCCATATCAGAAATGAAATGTATATTTCATGCTGCTGATTAACATGTAATTTAAACAGTCCTGTTAAATGTCAGGCACTGACATGTATATTTTTAAAAGCCTTGAAGCAGTCGTTCACTGTCTGCTCTCCCTTCAGCACAATACGATGATATAAATGGACACAGTGACCTTGTTATTGAAAGAGTAACTAAGGATGATTCTGGCACTTATGTCTGCACGGCAGAAAACACAGTTGGCTCAGTCAAGGCTATTGGATTTGTGTACGTCAAAGGTAGGTGAAAGCAAAGAATTTCCTGTGTTTTCCTAGTATTTGATACTTAGTCTTAAAATGATAGGTGATTGATCCCTACCAGCAGTGCCATTAAGGGCCTTCTGCTTTGATCCCACTCTTTGACCACCCTCCCTTGCTCTTTCAGAGCCTCCGGTCTTCAAAGGGGATGATCCCTCCAGGCGAACGGAGCCCCTGGGCGGCAACGCGGTGCTCGACTGCGAGGCGAGAGGAGAGCCACCTCCAACCATCCAGTGGAGCAGAAAGGGAGCCGGCGTCCCGCTCGGCACCCGCATCCGCCAGCTCAGCAACGGCTCGCTCGCCATCTACGGCACTGTCGTGAGTCCCTTGTCTGCTGCAGTCAGCTTGGGCACTGTACTTAGTGAATTAAATTCCACCTTGTTGCGTTTTGAAGGAGCAAGGTTATACATTTAATCCACTTTTGTTTTGTAACTTGAGCGAAGACTCTAATTCTCTGCTCAAATTAGTGTGACAAGAAATACAAGACTGTGCTTCTTCTCAGTTATCAGTAGCTTGCTCAAGTTTATTTAAATAGATTTGGGCTCTTTTGCTCTCATTAGGGAAAAATGGAATAATAACAGCAAAAATATTTCACAATATCAACTTAATAAAAAGAGAAAGTTGGGATACTTCCTTCTTAAGATCCACTGCATGCCATGCTGCAGTGTGGAGAATTTTCTTCTATGAAATGCACCAAAACCCAAGAGCCTCCTTGCATGTGTGTTGACAAATTCCGTGGCTCCTGCTCCACAGAACGAAGATGCTGGTGACTACAAGTGCGTGGCTACCAACGATGCTGGCACCGTGGAACGCAGCCTGACGCTAACGCTCCAGAGTAAGGCTCAAAATGCTAAGTTCAGTGCCACTAGATTGGAGTGATAATCTGCCTTTGGGTATGGGTGGCAGCTCCCATTGCTCTAACTGCATGTTGGGTGAGATTCATCTCATCTGACTTTGTCATTAGTAGTTAAGAGTCTAGTGCCAGCTAGTGATGGAGGTGGCAGAAGAGAAGCAGGTAGAGGTGATTCAGGCCATTCATCGCAGAACCACCTTAGAATGGGGTGAGTCACCTTGGGAACACGCTTGTTGCTCTCAGCTGACAGAGGGCAAGCCTGCACAACTAGATTAAACTAGACTCTTAACTTTTAAATTAATAAAGTTAGGTGAGATGGATCTCAGCCTTCACTGACAATGTAACTTTTTTTTCAAAAATAATATTCTAGAATTAACTATTTCATTGATGTGTATCTCTAAACATCCCTTTCCTGTTATAGTCTCAAGTAGGATGAAATTTGCTACTTTTGTCTCAGCTGCCCCCGATGATAACCTTTTCCTCCAGGTTTTATGAAAAGCCACACGTTTCAGCCCTGAAGGAAGAGTCTGTGCTCCAGCAGTCAGCCTCCATGCCACTGCTGGTGCACTGGTTTCTCTTGCATTAAAAATAGCCCATCCTTGTCATTTCAGCTTGTGCATGCCCTACCTTTTGACAGTGTGCTCTCTGATCTCAGAAAAATCTTGAACTTATGCTTAAGATGAACAGTAGTGTTTTACTCCAGATTAATTGGCTAAGATTTGTTTGTCTTCTCTCAGAGAAGACGTTTCTTTAATGTTCAGTACAGTGAAAATATGTACGAAATCCCCACAAATCAGGTGGGCTTGAAACATCTCCCCGCTTTTCTTTATTTCAGCTCCTCCAGTCATTACTGTTGAACCTATGGAGACTGTTACTGAGGCGGGTGCCACAGCACTGCTGCACTGCCAGGCAGCGGGAGAGCCTGCACCCAGGCTGGAATGGGCTCGTGGGGGGCGCCCGCTCGTGGGCAGCGACAGGGTGTCCGTGCTGTCCAACGGCTCCCTGCGGATCGTCGCAGCGCGGAGGGAAGATACAGCGGAATACGAGTGCGTCGCGAGGAACTTCCTGGGATCTGCTCTTGCTAGAGCACTGCTCACTGTCCAGGGTAGGTGCACACAATACAGGAGACTGCCTGTCAACCTAGACAGTTCCAGCATTAATTCAGAATAAATAGGAGCAAGATTTTGTCTTGTTCCTTCCGTACACGCATTAGGTGCATGTTAACCCAGTTTGAAATAGATATCAGTGAGGTTTTGCTTTATGTAATCTTGCTCCTTCTGTAGGGCTGTTGTGCTCATCAAGCTCTGTGGGAGAGAAGAATGTGAAGGAATGAGGGAGAAAGATAGTAATGTGGATGTTGAAATAGATCCCATGCTCTGAAGGGGTGACATAGCTTGTACCTGTGATCTAAAGAAAAGCATTTAGGAGCGTAAGCCACAGCTATTTCAGAGCAGCTGAAGTACTCTCTGAACTGCAGTAAGATACGTGTGCAGTAATAAAAAACAGGTTGGATTTGCAGCTCTACCTTAGGAAGTGCAGGTTTCTCTTTGCTCACCAGCCCAAGAGGGGCAAAAGCAAAAGCAGACACGGAGCATCGCTTTCCCCCTGCAGTGCACGGCGGGTTTTCCAGCTGGCTGGAGTGGCGGCCTTGCAGTGCAACGTGCGGCCGGGGTGTCCAGGAGCGGATCCGGCGGTGCAACAACCCCCTCCCGGCCAATGGAGGGCGGCCCTGTGAGGGGCCCGAGGCAGATGTGCGCAGCTGCCACAACAGGCCCTGCCCAGGTATGGCTTGCCTGGCTTAATGCTTCGTTTGCCTTGCGTTGAGTGCCCTGGTAATGGCCACGTCATCCACGACAGAGCCATTAATGATGTGGAATTCATCCTGGCTTTTCAGGAAAGCCCAAACCTGGTAAATGCTTTAAAAAGAATTTCTCATGACAGCTGTGGTGTTTTGTTTCACATAGTGCACGGCGGCTGGTCAGAGTGGGGCCTTTGGGAAGAGTGTTCCAAGAGCTGTGGCCAAGGCAACAGGACCAGAAGCAGAAGCTGCAGTAGCCCCCCGGCCCAGCACGGCGGGAAGGGCTGCGACGGCCGTGCCGTGGAGTCAGTCATGTGCAATGTTAGGCCCTGCCCGGGTAAGAGAGGCATCAGCTGCTCTTTGTGTAGCTGTCTTTTTGTTCCCTAAGTCTGTATTCTTTCAGTTTTTTTCCTATTTATTAGATCATAAGAGACATTAAGCTCTCCAATGTTATCCGTATCAAGATATCTGTATCAAAATAGTCTGTAATTTATTGAGTGGCCCAAGTTACTGGAAACAGGAATCATAAAAGCAAATGCAAGGAGTGTTTTCAGATTTTCTTCCCCCATGAAAATGTTAATTTTGTATTTCAGTGTTTTACCAAGTATTTATTAGCGTGTGCTTACAGAGTAAAACTTGCTTCTTAATCTATTTCTCAAGGCCAATTAAGATGAAAAAATCAAAAAAAGCAGTAGTGCAAAACATGATAACGGCGTAAGACATTGTCAATATTTTTTTTCCCTTTAAACTTTCAATAGTGAATTTCTCCTCGCTAGCTGTATGTTAAGGTTTCCTTCCTGTCTTGGTTCCATTTGCAGTGTTTGGCAGGGCTTGCTTTATTCACAGCCCCTCGGCAGTAGCCTGGTTCCTTCTGCACAACTCCTGTTGTGCCCGTTTTCCCATTCTCCCTGACTTTGCTAGCAGCAGGATGTCACATGCTCATCTACAGGCTGATTTCTCTACATCCTGGCAACCAAATCAGTTCTGGCCCCTGCCTCCTGGTACCACTGGGGCTGCTGTTAGCTGAGGCCATCGGTCTCATACAAGTCAGTCAGCTTCAGGTAACTTATAAAAACACCAGGTTGGATCAAGCCGTTCTGGTTGCAGTCAGTGGTGTATTGAGGAAACTAAACAAAAAAAGAAAGAATTACCCACTCTTTGGAAACTGTTGGTTGACATCAGCTGTTTCCCAAGCAGAAGGTTTTCCAAAGGCTTCTTCAGAATGCTTAATTCACTTTCCTTAAGGAAGGGTTTCTTCTCTTGCCTGGGGCTGTGGGGAGGCAGCTGCGAGTTACAGGCGCTGTCAGTGTGACCAGGTTTCTGGTGCCTTTGCAGTGGATGGCGCGTGGAGCTCGTGGCTGCCCTGGGCTCCCTGCAGCGAGACCTGTGGGACGGGCACGCGGCGGCGGCTGCGGCTCTGCGACGCGCCCGCTGCGGCCGGCGGCGGGGCGCCCTGCGCCGGCTCCGACTCGCAGCTGCAGCTCTGCAGCGAGGGGCTCTGCCCGGGTAAGGGCCACGAGAGCACGCCAGCTCGGGCACCTCCCCTCCACGTGCTGCTCGCCTCTGTCTGCAGCTCTAACCACCCACAAAACTCCAGAAAAACCCTTTATTCTCACTGGCTCCCTATTTTAAATGGCTCTCCGTAGAGCTAACGAGTGGGGTTCCTTCTGCTGCCCATGTGTCCCTGCCTTTTGCCTGTCACTGTGTAAAAGCTGCATTGCAAATCCGTAGCACTTGAATTACAGATTTCCTAAGCATTTTGGGTTTGATTTTCCTAATTTTTGATATTGTCTTAACCTTTTCCTCTACATTTCAGTGAGTACATTATTTTTGAATAGGAAGAGATAATAATTTCAGAGTTTGTGTATGGTTTGACTTTCTCACGGGTAAATAAAAATCTGAGAAAGAAATCTGAGAACTTGGGAACTGACCGTGCCTGTAGTTAGGCTCACAGACTGCTTAAATGACAGGCCATGCTTCTCTCCCGCCTTCCCTCCCGCAAATCCCCATGTATTTGAGATGCCCAAAAGATAAGGAGTGGGAACCAGGCAGGCTTTCCTTATCCCTGATGTGGCTCTGCTTGCTGCCTCCCCACGCAGTGGACGGGAGGTGGGCGGCGTGGAGCAGCTGGAGCGCCTGCACCGTGTCCTGCGCAGGAGGCAGCAGGCAGAGGACGCGCCTCTGCTCCGACCCAGCCCCGCAGTTCGGGGGCCACGAGTGCGAGGGAAACGACCTGCAGGTGGATTTTTGCAACAGTGATCCCTGCCCTGGTAAGTGCTCGGGGTGCGAGGGGGAGCTGAGCGGGGTGAAAGCAGCTCCAGTAACTGCCAGGAGGGCAAGCAAGGCAGTGAGCTGCTGCCGGACTGGCCATGAACCTCTGCAGAGCTTCAGCTCTCCTGGCTATTCTTTGTGTCTCACAGTAAAAAGCAGCAAGTCACTTGGTCTGTAACATAAGCCTCGTGCCCTTCTGTATTAGTCACTTAATGAACTACAATGTTCTGGAGTTAATGAACTTGAGAAGCAGCTGAATCCTGGCCAAGGTCACTCTGTTGCATCCTCTTCTCTCTGATCTTTTCATGGCTCTCGGATTTGCCATAGGATTGAATCATAGAATCATTGCTTTAGGAAAAAGCATTAGAACAAGCAGGTCCCATCCAGGGGGAATATTTTCCTAGCCTGTGTGTGCATTATTAAAAGTCATTAAAAGAAAGAAGGATAAAATCTGCTGTTTTGTTGTTGTTGTTGTTCCTTTCCCAAGTGCACGGCAGCTGGGGCCCCTGGAGCAGCTGGGGAGGCTGCAGCCGGCCGTGCGGCGGCGGCCAGAGGCGGCGGCACCGCTCGTGCGACAGCCCGCGGCCCGCGAGCGGCGGCCGGGCGTGCGCGGGCGCCGACGCGCAGCTGCAGCGCTGCAGCCCCGCGCGCTGCCCCGGTGAGTGCTCCGCCCCCGCTGCCCCTCGCACCGCCCCAGGGAAACACCAGACCTTGCCCTTATCTCCGCTTGCAGACAACACAACAATCCACTCAGTTTCTTTCTAATTCAAAACTTCAAGTTGCGTTCTCCGCTTTTTCCTCCTCAGTGGATGGAAACTGGGGGCAGTGGCAAGCGTGGAGCCGATGCTCTGTGTCCTGTGGAGGAGGAGAACAGAGCCGAGTTCGCCTGTGCAACAGTCCTGCGCCGTCAGATCATGGACATCCTTGTCCTGGCGACTCTTCCCAGATATCCAGGTGTAACATCCAAGCGTGTCCTGGTGAGTTAATTTGTAGCTTACACGGCAAGGATGAGACCCTGGTGGCAGCCTGGGCTGCTGCCCTTGGGGTCTGACTGGGGCTCCCCAGGGTCTTGACCAGTTGTCTGAGCGAGTCATGACAGCCCTGCCACCTAAACCCCTCACACAGCCTCAGTTGGATGAATTTGCTGCTGTCCTTGCCACCCTGTGTGTCGCACTGTTTGACAACTCTTGTTTCCCCAGAGAGGACCCTGTGCTTGTGCAGTGCACAGCGTGATTCCTGGGGTATCACGTGTCTATGCCAAACCAGACAGGATCCTACTTTTTTTCAGGATGTAGATAGGGTAATACATGTAGAAATACCCACAGAGCTCTAATTCCTTAACATGCTGAGCACTGTTTTTACATAGGGGCTTTTTTTTTCCTTCCTCTCTCCCTTCCCCTCCCTTCCCCTGCCCAGGTGGACCCCCACGTGCCAAGGGAAGCGTTATTGGGAACATTAATGGTGTTGAATTTGGAATTGCCTACCTGAATGCCACAGTTACAGAGAGCCCTGACTCTGAAGCTAGAATAATCCAAGCAGAGATTACTAACGTCCCCCGGAGCCTTGGTAGGTGCTGCTGCTTCTTGAACTGTTGGCACCATTTCCATTTTCAGCATTTCATTAACTGTCACTGAATAAACTCATCTAAACTCTCTGGCTCCTGGTTTATATCTTAAGGGTGATACCAGCTCAGATATTTGCCTGTGTATTCTACTTCCACTAACGTGGGTCACACACTTAAGGGAAAAAGAATGAAGTCAGATGCTGTGTTCCCTTACTCGCAGGTGCCTCGATGAGGAAGCTGGTGTCCATCCTGAGCCCCATTTATTGGACGGCTGCGAAAGAAGTTGGAGGGGCAGTGAACGGCTTTACTCTCACTGATGCAGTCTTCAAAAGGGAAACCCAAGTGGAGTTTGCTACTGGTTGGTTACCTGACATATCCCATCTCTTTTTCCATTGTAGCAGCTTGATAAAGAGTGCGTTTATGAAAAATATCACACAATCATTGCTGAATTTTGAGTCTTCTGCTTATGACAGGATCTTCCCGAAAAAGTGCAGTATCTGGAACTGCAAACACAGCTTTCAGAACCTTAATTAGAAATATGTAATGTTTGTATTAGGAGCTTGGTATGCCTTACAAAAATAGTAACGTAAAATAACTGGTTAATGGATCCAGTTCGGATTTTGGATAGTTAACACAAGTTTCTAGTTGGGATGTTTTATAAATCAACGTGCTCCTAAAATCCACAGGAGAGATTCTGCGAATGACTCACGTTGCCCGAGGCCTGGATTCAGATGGCACCTTGCTGCTGGACGTTGTTGTGAGCGGCCAGGTTCTGCAGCTCCAGGAATTAGCTGACATCAACATGAAGGTAAAGCTGCTTCTGGAAACCACGTGCTCGTATCGGTGCAGACTTCTGCTCTGGTGTGTAGGAATTGCACAGACACAAGTCCTGCAAGCTCTTTCACTACCAGTGCTTCAGTTTGCATCTTGCTTAAGACACTAGGATGTGTCATGAGACACGCTAGTTACAAGATACTCAAGATGTTAGATAACTGAAGTGTTTGGGCTAGAACTTGGGCTAGTTTTCACAGCTAGGCATGTCACGTGTTGCCTTTAATTGAGTTAGGAAACTGAATGTTAAAACTAGTTTGGTTTTTTTTGACTTCTCTGAGAAGACACTGGCTCTTTATCCCATAGCACCTTGCAAAAGTTTTTGACTTGTGCTGATAATGCTTTACTAGCTACAATTATTTGTAGTGCAGCAGAGAAATGTACCTGTGTTCTGATGGAGAAGGACAGGGGCTTGATGTGTTCTGATCAGGTTACATCACAGCAGGTTTTATGTACTACCAGGCGTGTTGTTACAGTGCTGTGAACAATATCCGTCTTTTCCAGTTGGAGTGCCAAAATCTTGGCTTGTGGAGAGGTCTGTTATGACAAATGGTCCACTTATTTTACAGAACTTGCTTTTTCAAGGGATGAAGATTTGTCTAGGTCCTTTTTCAGGAGTGGTTGGGGAACTGCCCTGCTTTGCCTGGCGATGTGGTGAAGGTTATAACCTCACTGCTGAATCCTTCCACCTGCTGTTTCTCACATATTACGCTGGAGGGCTTTAGTGACTTACCAAAATTTAAGGCTTATACTATACTAAAAAGCTATAAAAACAATTGGAACTCCATCTCTCTGTTAGAAGTACCGGATCAGGGACAGAAACCCCCTCACTATGTTGGTGTTTCAGGACTACACAGAAGACTATGTTCAGACGGGCCCCGGGCAGCTCTACGCCCGCTCCACGCGCCTCTTCGCCGTCGATGGAGTTAGTGTCCCCTACACGTGGAACCACACAATCACCTATGACCCCACGAGAGGAAAGATGCCCTTCCTGGTGGAAACGCTCCACGCTGTGTCCATCACAGCGGAGTACAACCCTCTGGAGGAAACTGTGGCCTTCAGAATCCACGCTTCCATTGCAAAAGGTATTGCCTGAGCCTTTCACACAAACGAAACGAGGGAACAATAGTATCCTGCTTGCCTAGCATTCAGTACCCAATTTGCAAAAGCTGTTTATTGACAAAGAACACTGGGGAGGTCGGATAACCTTATTGCAGGTATTGGGATCAGTGTGTTTTGGTCCTGCACCCCAAGAATAACACGTAAAGGTTGTTGCAGGTTTTACATGTTGGGTCGATGGTCACAGCGTTGGCTGAGCCTGCTCGTGCTGTCGAGCGGCTGCACGAGTGTGGGGACACGTGTGGCCTTTGAGCAGCACCTCCTGCCAAAGGCCAGTTTATATGTTTGTATTTTAGGGCCTGAGTGTATGTGGCCTTTTGTAAATACCCAGGCTGCAATAGTGAATGGAAAAAGGGCTGCTTAAAGTAATAATGTGGTCGTATGTTCATCAACTGGTAACACGGGGTTCCTTTATTGTACAGGGGATCGTAGCAACCAGTGTCCTGCTGGCTTTGTCTTGGACTCAGATGGGCCTTACTGTTCAGGTAATGACATGCCAGATTTTATATATATTTACATATAGATATGCATGTAGTCAAATGCAGAGCATCTAGATATAGCTCTTCAGAGCTTTAAAGCATGCGGTACATACTCCAGAAGGAGGAGAAGAGGGAAAAAGATGGGAATTGGAAGGCAAATGTGGATGTTAAAACCGGATATGTTAGCTAGTGCTCTAGGCTGCACAGCCAACAACACTGAAGAAGCTGCAAAGCTAAAATGTTGTAAATGGGGCTGCTAAAATGTTTTCCAGTTGCAAAATGAATTCTAAAATTTAAATGTGGAAAACTTCTTTTAATAACCTTTCCTAGGTTATGTAAGAATTCCATATAAATATATATGGAGTCCATCTGTTAGGTTGTGTCACATTTTTTTTTAGATTTCCAGGTGATCTGGGAAAGAATATATCTAAAATTAGTTAAGACAATAGCTACCTCCCCCTGCAGAGGTAACTTGAGCAAAATTCCAGTGAGACTTTATATGTGGAGGCTTGGAAACAGCTCTGAAAATTAGGATCTTTAATTACATATAAAAATTCCATCTCTTGAATCTACACCAATGTAGGTTTCTCCAAGGGGTGGTGGTGGTTGTTCCTGTGTTTTCTGTGGTGGTGGTCACTGCTCTGGCAGCGTTTTCCCACTTTTATGTGCGTGTTCCCTTGCTGCAGATGAGGACGAGTGCGCGGGACGCAGCCCCTGCTCCCACGGCTGCCTTAACGCCGTGGGCACCTTCTCCTGCTCCTGCCCGCCCGGCCTGGCCATCGCCGCCGACGGCAGGACCTGCCACGGTGAGTGGGGACGGGCGCCCGCGACGCCCCCTTTCCCTCCCACACCCCCCCTCTGTCGCTCTCTGACCCGTCTCCCCAGCCCCTCTCGCTGTCGCCCCCCTTTGTCACCTCCTGCTTTGCCCCCCGACTCTTGTCCTCCCTTCCCCACCTTTCCCCTTTGTCCCGCCACTCCCTTTGCCCCTCTGCCCTTCCCTCCCCCTTTCTTCCCATCTCTTCCCACACCCCTTTTCCCCTCTTCCCTCCTTTTTCCTTCCTCTTCCCCCCTTCCCCCACTTCTCCCTCTTTCCCCTTCTCTTCCCCCCCCTTCCCCTCCTCTTCTCCCTTTCCCATATCTTCCTCCTCTTTTTTCACCCCACCCTCCTTTTTCCCTCCCTCTCCCCCCTTCCTCCCCATTTTCCCCCTATGCCCCCTTATTTCCCCTCTTTCATGCCCCTTTTACCCCCTCTTCCTCCCCTTTTCCCCTTCTGCACTCATCCTCCCTTCCCTCTGCTTTTTCCCCTTCCCCCCTTCACTGACTCTTCCCACCCTTCTTACCCTTTCCCCCCAACCTTCCCCAGCCCTTCCCTCTCACCTCCCCACATCCTCCCTAATGCCACTTGTCACTGCTCTTCTTCCCTTGCCCTCTTTTCCCTGTTACTCTCTCCTTTCCCACCCATTATCCCGCTTCCTCTCTCTTATGCTCTCCCTTTCCCCCATTCCTCATTTTCCTCCCTCTTTCTACCCTTGCCCCCTTTTCCCTTCCTTCTCCCGACTTTCCCCTTTTCCCTCCCATCCCTTTATTACCCCTTCCTCTCCTCTAACACCCCATTTCCTCTCTTATCCCCTTTACCTCTCTTTATCTCCCTACTTATCCACCCCCTTCCCTCCCCTTTCCCATCATCCTCCCCTTATCCCCCCTTTCCCCCTTTAACCTCCTTTCACCCTATTCTGCCTGCTCTGCTCCCTTTCCCCACCATTATCCCCCTCTTTCCTCCCCTTATCCCCTACCTTATCCCCTCTTATCCTCCCTCCTCCTTTCCCCACTATCCTCCCCCTTATCCCACCCTTACACCCCCTCTTCCCCCTCTCTCCTCTTTCCCCCCTTTCACCCCATTGCTGCCTTTCCACCCCTTTCCCCCGTTTCCCTCCCCTTATCCTACCTTATCCTCCTCTTATCCCCCTTTCTGCACCTTGTTTGCCCCTTTGACCCGTTCCCATCTCTTATCGCTCTGTTCCCCCCTTATCCGCGCATCCTCCCTTAACCACCCCTTATCCTCCTCCTTTCCCCCTTTCCCCAGTCTTCCCACTTACCCCCCTATCCCCCTTCCCCACTTTATCCCCCAATTCCTCTCCCTTAATGCCACCCTTATCCCCCCCATCTCCCCCCTTTCCCTCCCATATCCTCAGCCCAATGCCCCCCTTTTGCCCTCCTTATCCTCCCCTTATCCCCTTCTTCTGTCCTTATCCCCTCCTTGTCCCCCTCCCTTACCCATCTGCTTCCTCCTTACTCTCCCTTTTCCACCTTATTCCCCCCAGTCCCCCTTTTTCCCCCTTTCTCCTCCAGCTCCCCCTCTCTCCCCATATATATCCCCCTTTCCTCCCTTGTCTCCCCCTTTCTTCCCGTTATCCTCCCACTTAACCCCGCCCATGTCCTTGGCCTAACCCCCTGTTATCTCTCCCTTTCCCCTATTATCCCCCTCCTATCCCCCCTTATCCCTCCATTATTCCCCTCTTTCCCTCCTCCTACTCCTTAAACTCCTTCCCCTCCTCAGTCCACTCTTTTCGCCCCTTTAAACCCTTTTCCCTCCCCTAACCCATCTTTGCCCCCCTTATCCCCTCCCTTATTCCTCTCTTATTTTCCCTCTTTTGCCCCCTTATCACTCCCATCCCCGCATATTCCCCACCTTATCCCCCTTTCCCCCCAATCCACCCCCTTGTCCTCCTTTAATCACCCCTTAACTCCCCATTCCCCTCTTTTACCCCTCTTATCCCCCTTTCTTCCTCCCACTTATGCCCCTACCCACCTTTTCCCTGCACTTCCCCCTCCTTTCCCCCTCTTATCCCCCCCTTATTCCTCCCTTCCCCCATCCTCCCTCTCCCATCACATATTCCCCCCTTATCCCCTCATTAAACTCCCCCAACCCTGTTCCCGCTCCTTAACCCCTCTCTCCCCTTATTCCCCCTTTTCTCCCCACTTTAACCCCCTTATCCATTCCTTAACTCTCCTTATCCCCCTTTTCCTCCTGCTCATCCCTCTCTTTTCCACCCCTTTTCCTTGTCCCCTCAGTCCTGCCCCCCTTTCGCCCTGCCCCCTCTTGTCCCTCCTTATCCCCTCATCCCCCCTTAACCTTCTCCTTTCCCCCACTTGCTCCCTCATCCCCCTTTGCCCCTCACTTTTGCCCCCAATCCGTCTCCCTTAATGCCACCCTTATCCGCCCCTAATTTTCCCCTGGCCCAATCCCCCCTTTCACCCTCCTTATCCCCCTGTTTCCTCCCCCCACTTATCCCCTCCTGCTGCCCTACCCCCCCATTGGGTCCTTGTCCCCCTCTTATCCACCCCCTTCCCCACCCCCCACACTTCTGCCCCCTTATCCCTCCTACCTCCCTTTTCTCTGCCCTTTCCCCCTCCTTATTCCCTCCTTATCCCACTCCTTATCCCCCCATCTCCCTCCTTATTCCCCCCTTAACTCCGCATCCCACTCCTTAACCCCTCTCCCCCTCCTTCCCACCGCTTCCCCCTCACTTATCCCCACCTTTCTCCTCACTTTACTCCCTTTTTCCCCTTCCCCCCTTACTCTCCCTTAACCCTCAACCTTCCCTTTCCCTCCCTTTATTCTCCCCTTCCCACCTTCTCTCTCTCCCTCTTATCCCACCCTTCTTCCATTCCCCCTTTTCCCTCCTTTCCCCAGCTTTCCCATGCTTTACCACTGCCCTTACCCACCCTCCTCCCCCCCTTATCTCCTTCTTTCTTCCTCATCCTCCCTTATTCCCTCCCTTATTCCCATTTTTCTCCCTCCTTCATCCACCCTTATCCCCCTTCCACCCCTTATCCCTCCATTTTATTCCCCTGCCACTTTCTTCCCATTACCCAACCCCTTCCTGCTTTCCCCCCCATATCCCTGCCTTTCCCTCCTTGGGTCCCCCACCCCCTTCCTCCCTTTTCCTCCCCTTATTTCCCCCCTTATCCCCTCCCTTACCCTCCCCATCGCCCCTTCCCCCTTTCCTCTCCTTATCTTCCCTCTTCCTGCCCCCATTTCTCCCGCACCTGAAGCCCCCTTATCCCTCCCTCTCCGCTCCTTTTCCCCCATTTACCCCCACCTTTCCTCTCACTTTTCCCCTCCCTTCCCCACCCTTACCCCTCCTCATCCCCCACTTTATCCCCC